TTGTTTCTGATAGAGCAATGGGGACAACGAGGTATGGTACAACCATTGATGCGGTATTTTCAAGATTCGTGAACCACGTATCTACGAACGTCCATGTGTCTTATTTTAGTTACCATAAACCACTTGTCACTGTAATTAATAATGCAGGCAATGTTGATTTAATTAATATTTAAAAAAAATGATAATAGTCTGATAATAATAATTACATAATTTATCAACATTCCTAATGATATATTTATGCACATCTGAAATTGACTATTGTAAAAAGTTTAATGTAAAATATTTCGTCGATTAGTTATAATAAATGTATATGAAATGAATAAATATATATTTATATATGTATATTATTTTCATTAATTTGTTAATTTACCCTTTCATACAGTATCAATCTTCTTTAAGTTCTCTTTTTGCGTCTGGTTAGACTACCGAACTTAAGGAGTAAATTCCAGTCGTGCGTGAAAAGTGAAATAAAAAAATTGTGTGTGTCAGCTACGACGCACGACTGGAGTTTACTCCTTAAGTTCGATAGTCTAACCATAAGATTATGCGAATATTTTTTTATTTTCGAATTTCAAAAATCCGAATAGCTTTTTTCGAACGAATAATGCATGCCCTAATCGGAAGCAAGACTCTCAGCCTATTAATCCTGTCGCCCCCGCGGGGATTGCTTACTGTTGGGACACAGGCCTTACCACAAGATGGCACAGGGAATTTGGCCCTTGACCCACCACGCGGGCCCTGTCCGGATTGGTGGATCTAAAGAGGGTTTCCCACCTCAAGCGGAGCGAGCACATTGATAACTCCGTTTGGCTCGCAATACAAAAATGCATACATCTGTTTCAACCAAGAAAGAGGCAAGCGAATATGACAGAGAGCAAAAAGAGTAAAAATGAGGATTAATACTCCTGAACTCTGTCTCGACGGAAAAGCAATCCTATTTTATGTACACGAAGACCGCTCCGCTAGAAGTCAATAGTTCATTCCTATTTGGCTGTGAAGAAAGAGCTCAACGACTGCAGATGCAGTCGGGACCAACAGCTTAACGTGCCTTACGAAGCATGGAGGAACTTGAGATTCAAAGTCTCCCATCCAGTGACCGGCCATTGCGAAACTTGCTTGAATTCACGATTGCAGGCCGTTACGTTTACCAACTGCGCCGTTTTTAATATATTCAAGAATTCAACAAGAATTATAGATATAATTTTTATTTTTTAAGCATGTAACTGCTTGATGTTTAAATCTAAAGAAAATATACTTCTTAAAAAATAGAAATTATAACTACAATTGCTATATTTCTTCTTTCAAATGTTTAATACTTGTAAAAGTATTCATTTGACATTGTGGGTTACCTACCTACAATGCAAAGAGATGGCGCTGCCTTGCAGCTTAAGAATAGTTGGAGGAATTTCCAAGGCCGCGGTAGCGTAATTGGTCAGTGCATTCGCCCGGATAGCGGAGGGTGCGGGTTCGAGTCCCGTCTGCTGCCTGGTCCGCGTGGATTTTTTTTCAGTAATATTTTCTTAAGAATTATAGATTTTTACAATAAAACTTTAAAGAGTCGTATCTCGGTTCCGAATCCGATACTATCTGCTTTATGCACTCTATAGTAAGTTTGTATTATATTCTTTCAAAATTTACATCTTTCATGAGTGACCCCCAAAATTGAAAACGACGTCAGGGGGCCGTTCAAGTATTATAGTATTATTACAATGTCAACATATAATTTTAAAAATAAATGTTAATGTGGTTATTAGATAAACAGTATACTGCGGCCAAAACTGTATTTAATTTAGATATTTAATAATAGTTGTATTAATATTTTTTAATCGATTTTCAAAGTTTTACTTGTTGGTATCACAAAATGGAGCATGTTTTAGTTAAATAAGGTTGTGGCAGAATATCAGCGACTTCCGATAAAACAGCGGTTTAAGGCTGAGTCACATTCCCTTTTTGTTCCCAAAAAGTTGATATGTTAGATTTTAAGTTTTTGTATTTGTAATTATGTATTTTTTGGAGCAAATAAATACTTATTATTATTATAACGTAAGCAGATTTATTATGATTTACCCCCTCCTCCCCTTGTCAGCAAAGCTGTTACCCCCTCCCCCCCCCTTCCATGCTTACGTAAACATTGATACCTATATCCTTTTATTTTAATGTATTCTAATTTTTGTTTATTGATTCATGAGCTTTCATGAGCAGCAGTACTTAAATAGGCTTAGGATAGAGGACTTTAACAGTCTTCAGTCCATGACACCCGGATCCATGATGCTGACGTAATCACTATCTCGACCCCCCCCCCCCCCATGTCATCAAAAATAAGCAAAGCAAAGACCCCTCTGCCGCCCTATAGTGCTTACGTAATACTTGAACGGCCCCCAGACTACCGAAACCACCATATTCCAAAACGCGGACTAGTCTTGGTATAAACCTTATGCCGTCTCTATCTTCTTTTTAGCAAACAAAAATGACAGCGTCAGTTTTACACCAGATTTAACTTTAGTCATGTTTTATAATAAGCTGTGGATATAGTTTATTCTAAATATCGGGGAGCTCGATGGCGTTCGCAGTGGTCGGTCATTGGATGGGTGACCAAAAATTTATCATCTCGAGCTCCTCCTAGCTTCGGAAGGCACGTTAAGCCGTTGGTCCCGGCTGCATCTGCAGTCGTTACCACCCACCAATCCGCACTGAGGAGCTCGATGGCGCAGGTGGTTAGCGCGTTCGGCTGCGATCGTTGAAGTTAAGCAACTTTCGCAGTGGTCGGTCATTGGATGGGTGACCAAAAATTTATCATCTCGAGCTCATCCTTGCCTCGGAAGGCACGATAAGCCGTTGGTCCCGGCTGCATCTGCAGTCGATACCACCCACCAATCCGCACTGGGCCCGCGTAGTGGGTCATGGCCTAATGCCTATTCCATCCACAGGGCAGGCTTGTGCCCCAGCAGTGGGGGCATTATTATGTTGATGATGACGATGAAATAACATAGGTTATTATACCATACCATATACAATTAGGTATATAGGTATCTTTGTTTAGAAGCAGGGTAAATTCAAAAAATTAGAGACATTGATGAAAAAATATTTTATTACAACACAATTGTTAAAAAAGAGGATTACATGGCTTAATGACGTATTTGTAGCATAAAACATTAACGCTAAATCTTTCTAAATTACATTCGAAAACTCACATCTAGAAAACTTTACACAGCAACTTATGCATTGCGCTTCATAACTTATATTACATTATCACTACTAATAATATTACAAGTTACCAAAATCGTTACAGGCTACGTTTGTTATGTTGATTGAAAATCCACATGCGGTGAGAGCGAGTCACCGATTCTTTGATTACAACAAAATGAGGAGTGCTCGATAACTATGCCGCATGCAAAATATTATCATCGATTATTATAAATTAGTCGATTGGTATTATCCTCGGCTCGCACTGTGGGGCCAGGCCGCGTGCCAAATACCCAAACATATTTGCTACACAGTGAATACTGAAACAACCTAGTCTCACACCCCTTTATCACTAAACAAGGTATAATCTTTGATTATTGCGCCGTGCTTTGTTCAAATCACTCAAATGCTATTTCTCATTCAATAGTGTAACTAATCCAAGCGTATTCTTCATTTATTGATAAGGGGGGGGGGGGGGGGGGGGTAGTGATTATCTCCTACTCACCTCGCACATTGAAACATAGCCTAACACTGTCGTTGTTGAAATGTCGTACCATAAAGATTTTGGAATCAATATACATACTTACTTCGAATATTATTTTATATACCTGTCAACAACTGAGATTTGACGGAATCTTATGGTGCAATGTATATATATGCGTATACATATAGTCGTTATAATGTACGTGTATTACTAATACTAAAAGAGCAATACAAGTGAATCTTCCAGAATGCATTCTTTTCAACTAAATAAAAAATGTACAAATTTATTTCAATACAAAAACCAACACGCATTTATTAGGATTATGCAATGGGGTATTATGAACATATATTCGTCGTATTGTACGCGAAACAATACAATATATAAACATATTACCGGCAAACGTAACAACATGTCTTTTCGAATAAATTAAAAATGTACAATTTTAAATTATCATAATTAATTATCAACATCGTAATTACACTAAAAAAATCAATTTTTAATCAATGAATACTCTAACATTATTTGAGAGGTGTATCAACAATTGAAAGGGCGTCGATTCAAAATCGACTCATTCACTTACATATATATATAATCTATATCTATTGAAATGTCGATAGGCTCGACATCGTTCAGAACTTAACAGCTAACGGTAAATTTACTAAGGAGAAATCCTTTTGCACGGCTTAATTTCGACTGTGAATATCGGACTCGTTGAACCCTAGCGTATAATGAATTATAGAATTGATAACATTTAAACAGTAAACTTGAGTATTGCTCGAGGCGAGAAATGAACTCAAAGCCGCGTTCTATTAGCCCCACTGTGCGTCGTATAATCACATAGTTATTATATAGGTTATCGTAAAGGTCCCTCGCTTCGGTACACACTCGGTTAAATTTGCAGCAAAACAGAGGGTATACCGAGAGAGGGTACTAAGCGATCGATCGAATGTCCAAAACTCAGAGACGCCAATTAACTTAAACCAAAGCGTAGTCTTCTCTTCGTAGCTAGCTAAAAAAAATCATTTGACATCTCCGAGTGCAGTGCAATTGTTCATGTTAGTCACACTTTCGCATCACCATTCCACTGACCGCAACTCAAAATGTTCATCGACTCGCGGAAACGGCTTTTTGCACACGTTCAACGCCATCTATCGGCGTTTCGAGGTCAACTTCAACGCCATCTAGCGGCGTTTCGAGGTCACCTTCAACGCCATCTAGCGGCGTTTCGAGGTCAACTTCAACGCCATCTAGCGGCGTTTCGAGGTCAACTTCAACGCCATCTAGCAGCGTTTCGAGGTCACCTTCAACGCCATCTAGCGGCGTTTCGAGGTCAACTTCAACGCCATCTAGCGGCGTCCCGAGGTCAACTTCAACGCGCGGGCTAATATTATGGTCACAGTGTCTTCTGAACGCTGATGCACAATGTCAGGGGTTATCTTAAGTCACTGGTTTGCAGTCCGTCGAGTGGCCAATTCACAGTTTCGGTTAGTTTAGCCGGAGGGGGGGTAGGCTTCGGGGGGAGGGGTTTGGTTAATGTGTTATTTAGGGGTTGGGGGAGGGGGGTCTGGGAATAGCACTTCACTTGCGGAACAGTTTCTTCCAGTTGAGCATCGTCTTGGGTGGTTCCGTTGACGTGGAAGGCAATGGTAAGTTGTCCGCTTGCTGCGTCTCCTTGGCTTGGTTTGCGCAAATGCAAGATTGCGCGTGGACTTGGAAGCCTGCAGAAGCAATTAAATGAATAAATAAATATTTCCAACACTCGCACCAATTAGCCTAGCCCCAAAGCGAGCACTGTAAGGCTTGTGTTATGGGATACTAGGGTAACGGAAAGAATACATATATTTTACATATATAAGTCGTTAGCACCCACCAACCCGCACTGCGCCCGCGTGGTGGGTCATGGCCCAATCTCCCTAATCCGTTCATAAGGAAGGCCTGTGCCCCAGCAGTGGGGACATTAATAGGTTGATGATGATGATGAAGTATATTTATATAGAAATACATATTAAACATCCATGACTGGAGTACAAATGCTCGTATTCTTCACACAAACATCTGCCCTCACCGGGATTCGAGCCCGGGATCTCTCGAGTCGGCGACACCATGAAACCCGTCGTATAAACCACTCGGCCACGGAGGACGTTAAAATTGGTCACTATAAAAAATATTATGAAGATCAAACCAATTCGACGACCGCCGTAGCCGAGTGGTTTGTACGCCGTATTCGAATTACTCCGAGCTTGCAGATGCCTTCTCAAAAATTCAAAATTCAATATCGTTTATTCAGTCTGGGCTGTTAGAAGCACTATTAGATTGTCGAAAAGCTACGCCATCGGTTCGCAAATCTACGGCGGAAGACCTTGTACTGAGAAGAACCGGCAAGAAACTCAGCAAGGGCTGTTTTTTTCTCCCTGTATTATATACAGAGTCGTCAAATTGAAAAATGACTTCAATACAGTATATTCAAGTTGAAAGCTGGCATTAATCTTATAAACATGTATTGAGGTTTATCTACACTCATGCTTTAAAATCGCTTTTAAAGATTCTGAAACAGTTAACTTATAAAAATATCCATGTTGTCCATGTCATAAATAAAAAAATAAACATCCATTTGGGTGTTATGTGTTTTTTTAATAAATTTCATAATAACACTCCTTCGCTTTATCAATCCGTTCCGTGGCAACTTTTTTTTTCTTCGTTTATCAGATAGATTATCAAAAAGTATTGGACATGTACTTTTTCTTTTTTCACATAATATAAAAATGGCAGAGATATATTCATTTGAAAAGTCGCATGACGTCACGTTTGAGTACACTTTTAAGTGAAAAATCACTAAAAAGTGACATCACGAGCCCCTACTCCTAAACTTTGACGCGCTATAACTTTGTCATTTTTTGGTTGATTGCCCACAGAAAAAATACGTGTCCATTATTTTTTGATCATCTAACTGACGGACTAAATAGAATTTCGTTTACCGTACCCCGTCATCACCCCTATTTTCACTGCTGGATGCATTGAAATCATGAGTTTTATGTTTTTAAACGCCCCATATTTTCAGAATCTTTTATAGAGGATTCATATCATGGATGTCAATAAAAGTCTTGTATGCAACTGTTATAATTAGAATAAAAAAAACATTCAATTAACAAAGTCTCAGATTAAAATAATGCATAAGAAAACTGCAATCGAAAATAAGAAGTCGAATTATATATAAAAACTAGCTGACTCAGCGAACTTTGTACCGCCATAAAAATAGGAGCCGGTGGTAGAAGTTAAAATTAAGTGTTGTAGGTATTTTTTAATACCACATTATAAAAAAATAAATACTGTCAAAAACAAATTTTACTGGTGTGTAACGTAGTGTTCTATCAATTCCCTGGGATAACATTCCTCCTAACCCATATGAGAACACTACGTTACAATACCCAATAGTTTGAATTTTGGTGCGAAGGCGCATTGTAGGTTTCAGAACACTATGTTACAGGTGGACAACCATTATCAATTAAGGATATGAAAAATAGATAGTAGCCGATAGATATTCTCAGACCCACGGAATATGCATATAAAATTTCATAAAAATCAGTCAGGCCGTTTCGGAGGAGTATGGTAACTAACATTGTGATACGAGAATCTAAAAATGCAGGCATGCAGGTAGATGTTATGACGTAGGCATCCGCTAAGAAAGGATTTTGATCAATTCTACCCCCAAGGGGATAAAATAGGGAATGAAAGTTTGCATGAAACTTTGTCAATTTTAAACCGATCGGACTGGGACTTTGCATGCAGGTATAAGAAGAATCATAGATGAATGCCATTGTGTATAATACAAGCCTGAGAACAAAAACTGTAGTCTACACTTCAGCTCTACACCGAAGCGAAGCGAGGGCGGGCCGCTAGTTTTATATATAAGGTCATGATTTCTCCATTGTTTTTGCTTTGTAATTGTTTGCAGTGTCCTACAGATAAATGACTTTAAGTTTAAGTAAATATGTTGTGGTTGTTATAGGTGGTTATGGGTAGTCATGCTCTCTTAAAAGTCTCTTCGGTGGTGTCGTGTGAGGCGGGTCGTTGCGTTCCCTAAAAAATGGTTGAGCGAAGCGATGGCTGGTTCATGCGTCATGCTCGTGAACGGGTGCTGCCAGCGGAGATGAGTCTGCCCTAACTACTTTGATATTTAAGATGTAAATGTTCAATTACACCTATTATAAATAACTCTATTTATACTGTGTGACACAGCAATCAAAATGCAGGTGAACAATTAATGTATAATTTCACATTATGTAATGAAGGGTGACTTCATGAATCATCTCTGAAGTCATTTTTCAACTTGACGACTCTGTAAATGATAAAACAGGGAGAAAAAAACAGCCCTTGCTGAGTTTCTTGCCGGTTCTTCTCGGTACAAGGTCTCCCGCCGTAGATTTACGAACCGATGGCGTAGCTTCTAGACATTCATATGTGCTTGTAACAGCCTAAACTGAATAAATGATTTTGATTATGATTATAAGAAAGATATAACTGTAACATTACCTTTCTCGACAATGCCATAGAATACGTGCTTGTGTCGAAGAGACTCCCAATTGGCGAGACGCTACTCGGCCATCTCCCTCTCGCCCCCGCCTGCGCCCGTCTTCTCCACGATGCAGGATCGGGCCACAGACGCGAACAACCTGAAAACATTTATATTGTTTTAAACTTTCATGGTCACTAACATTATAGATATTAACGGGATTTTTACCATGTGAGAATGTGACCAATGGTAGTGGTAGTATCGAACGCAGTAAAAGACGACGTCAGAGGGTAGACCGATATGTCTGCCAATAACATCTACCCGCAATTACTTCAGTTACTCCGTGATCATGGCGCTTGCAACAGTGCCGAAATATCGGAGACTCATAAAAAACAAGGTACATGGTAACAATCCCGTTAATATCTATAACCTGAAAACACCCGTCAAATTTCACTACTGTAATATACACATAGCACGAACCATTATCGAATTCGAATTGCTAAATAGGGATGATGACTATTTTAATAAAATTAATCTTTTGGTTATATTCAAAATTTTCAGTAATTTGATTTTAATTGTGTTATTATTTCTATAAATTAATTTTGTCTGTAATTTATTGTGACTAAAAGGGTACTGAACACAGAAATTTAGCGTAGGTACGGGGCAGTAAGGGTGGACAATCTCTTTATAGGATTAACCTAACCTAACCCTAGAATTTGAGTTTCATATAATTGGTAAATTCATTCAAGAGGCGCGATCCACCTGGAAAAATAGCTAGGGGGCAGCAAGGGTAAACAATCTCTTTATAGGATTAATCCTAGAATTTGAATTTCATACAATTGGTAAATTCATTCAACAGGCGCGAACCACATGGAAAATTAAGTCAAATGACAATGACAGATTTTGACCCACCATATACAGTAATATTAGATTTATGAAAAAATATATACGACTTTTTTTCTCGTACCGATTTAATTATTACTTTGTAAAAGCGGCGGATACGAAATAAATATTAAAATAATTTGTATCTACTGTTTCCGTTAGGAGAAGAACGAAAACATGGCATAAGCGTTTTGTTTCACGGCAAACAATAAAATGCCAATCAAGTTTTCGAAAAATATCGTTCTCTTTTTTAATGATATGGATAAAATAAGCATTTCGGTTATAAAAATAAATAATTTATGTTTATAAAAAAGTTAAACGATTATAGTACCTTGTATTTTTTATGCGCATACACATTATTATGTAGTAGTACCTATGTGAAACTAAACGTTATTTTGGATTGATATCCTTTTGATTGACATTTCCGTCAAACAAAAGGATTTGGACGACATTGTCGTTTGTGATTTGGAACCATGTTGAGATGCATAAATTGTTATTTATGTGTCGATAGAATACAAAGGCATGTCGTTTATACAATATCAGCTACAATACGGACGCTGTTGAATAATTTATAAAAAATCCTATTTTCTGCTCAAATTGCAGCTTGAGAAACATATGATAAATAATTGTACTCTTTGTAAGTTTTCATATTATTATTCAATAACCACAGCTTCTAGAGAATTTACAACTTTACTATTTTGATTCCTTATATTACAGCTATGAAATATCATTTATCGCATTCGTGTACACCATTTTTATCGGGTGGGTTAAACCTCTATAGAACTTCTGGCATTGTTCTTTAATTGCTGAACACAGAAACTTGGAATGTCAAGGGGCGTAGCTAGTGGGCAGCCAGGGTTGACAATATCTTTATAGGATTAACCCTAGAATTTGAGTTTCATACAATTGGTAAATTCATTCAATAGACATAGCTAGCAACAAAGTTTGAGAAACAATGTGAAGTGACATAGTTGAAAGCCTACAAGAATAAAGGTAAAAGTTGTAACAATTTATATACGAAAGAAAAATGAACACAATCTCAAGGAACTGCCAACGAATTAGAAATAATACTAGCAAACCAGTGAACCAAATGTTTACCAAAACCTGATTTAAAAAAATGTATTTAATTAATTGAGAACTTCGGAGATTTTGTGTGGTTTCGTTTGAAATTCGTGATTTCTCGAAAACCGGAAGTGCTACGTTACTCAAATCCGGTTTGTAGTCTTATCAGACTATTCTTAACTTATAACTTAAATATTCTCTTTATCTATCTCTTACGGTTTGGCCGCTGAAACAGCACCACAGACAGACGGACAGACGGACTTGTCTAATAGATAAGAGATGTTTATGGAGTCCTTAAAAAAGTGGATATTTTAATTCTATTGTGTAATCAGTAAAAAAAACTAACTGCAGTGTCACGGAATGTCACTTTGGCCGGAAGAATACTAGCGTGTGACGTCATTTAGTACTGGCTAATCCCAGACGCTTTCGGTCACGTGACAATGGAGCAAAAGAATAATTAAGTACTTCTTAATGATTTCTTTTATATATAGGAGCTCGATGGCGCAGGTGGCTAGCACGTTCGGCTGCGATCGTTGAAGTTAAGCAACTTTCGCAGTGGTCGGTCATTGGATGGGTGACCAAAAATTTACTATCTCGAGGTCCTCCGTGCTTCGGAAGGCACGTTAAGCCGTTGGTCACGGCTGCATTTGCAGTCGTTAGCACCCACCAATCCGCACTGAGCCCGCGTGGTGGGTCATGGCCCAATCTCCCTATTCCATCCATAGGGAAGGCCTGTGGGGACATTAATAGGCTGATGATGATAATGATTTCTTTTATAGAAAAGTTTTAAATTATTTGTTCTTACGGAATTCTAAAATTGATGTAAATATTCATAGTAAATACAGATGCCAACAATTGGAACATAATTTTTCATACTGTCAAATAGCAAATTGCAGATATGTATTTGGTTTGACAAAGTACAGTGTAAACTATAAATAACGACACTAAAGGGACTGTACATTTTATGGCGTTATAGAGAGTTGTCGTTAAATGGAAAGAGGAAAAAACAGAATTATCTTATGAAAAGAAAAAGTTTATTTTAAGCTAGTAGCTAGTAGTAAGCACATAAAAAAATAATCTTATTTGAACGCCATTGCGTATTTTTTGTTATTTTTGTCCGACGTCTTACTGCACCAGTAATTTTGTTGTATTATATTCTTTACTAGCAAACCAGTAAACCAAATGTTCACCAAAACCTGATTTAAAAAAAATAATGTATTTAATTAATTGAGAACTTCGGAGATTTTGTGTGGTTTCGTTTGAAATTCGTGATTTCTCGAAAACCGGAAGTGCTAGTAGACTATTCTTAACTTATAACTTATATATTCTCTTTATCTATCTCTTACGGTTTGGCCGCTGAAACAGCACCACAGACGGACGGACGGACGGACTTATCTAATAGATAAGAGCTTTAGTCATGGTCAACAATAGTCTACACATGCAATCCCAATTTGTAAAGAAAAAAAAACGCAATTTCTTAGAAAGTTTGGTTTCCATGATGCCGACAGTCGAGTTTATTACAGGCTAGGTTAGTAAAGCGACAAAGTGACGTACATAGCTGCGCGATTTTCACTAATTTTGGCAACTTAAAAGGTACTTTTTATAACTTAATTGTTGTCGTTATTTAGAGTGGGTGTAATGCTATATGGAATGTATAATTGTATGAAAAAAAAATGGATGCGTGTAACTTATGTACGCGCGTGAGAAGTTATACTTCTTTTTGGAATTATTAAAAAATAGTTTTTAATTGCATGCAGATAATTAATTACAATAAGATAATAAAAGGATTGGAAAAGGATAGTCAACGCAGTCAATAAAGTTCAGTTTTAATTTGAAAAATTTAATAAATAATCAAAATATTCAATTTAAATTACTGAATAAAATTTATTAGCACATATAAATTTCGCATTTGTATAACATTATAACACGTGTTAAGAATATAGAAACTAGAAACATGTGGATAAATATTATAAATATGAAAACAGTGATCAGAGGCGACGAGCGTCCCAACATGTGCGACTAAGAGATCCTATTACTATTTTGTTGGAAGCTTTTTTTCGAGACTTACGAGTAATGTGCAGTTTAGCGGCCGACTTCATGGTGTTACTTTTCTGTTACAGTGTTGCGCGCGCATCTTATAATTTCACTCTCATCATTTTTTCATAACGCGCCCGCGGCTAACTTCATTATGTTACTTTTGTGTTACCATGATGCGCGCGCATCTTAAAATTTCACTCTCATAATTTTTTCATAACGCAGCTAAAGAAGTATAACTTCAAAAACTGAACCAACCAAAGACGAGTGATTCCGACGCTTAAGGGAGTTTGTCGTTAAATCGAGTGACGTTATATGGAGTTTACACTGTATTGTTTTGCAGTTTAGTCGTATGAGAGCTTGGAACCATGTTCAAGCGTCCTTCGCAATGCTATCAATGCTCCCGTATCTCTTATCTATTAGACAAGTCCGTCCGTCCGTCCGTCTGTGGTGCTGTTTCAGCGGCCAAACCGTAAGAGATAGATAAAAAGAATGTTTAAGTTATAAGTTAAGAATAGTCTGATAAGACTACAAACCGGATTTGAGTAACGTAGCACTTCCGGATTTCGAGAAATAACGAATTTCAAACGGAACCACACAAAATCTCCGAAGTTCTCAATTAATTAAATACATTTTTTAAATCAGGTTTTGGTTAACATTTGGTTCACTAGTTTGCTAGTCTCTTATCTATTAGACAAGTCCGTCCGTCTGTCTGTGGTGCTGTTTCAGCGGCCAAACCGTAAGAGATAGATAAAGAGAATATTTAAGTTATAAGTTAAGAATAGTCTGATAAGACTACAAACCGGATTTGAGTAACGTAGCACTTCCGGTTTTCGAGAAATCAGGTTTTGGTGAACATTTGGTTCACTGGTTTGCTAGTCATTTCAAATTCGTTGGCCGTTGGATATTTCCGCAATTACTCACTTCTCGATCTCCGGCGCACAGTGGACGAACTCATGCGTCCAGAACTTGTATATGGGGTTCTTGATTAGCTCAATGAAGGTGATGAGCAGCCCCCAGGGGTGAGGCCGGTTCACGATGAGCCTCTCCAGCAGCATCCTGGTGATCTGCTCCTGGACCGCCTCGGAGTTGGCCTCGGCGAACAGGTAGAGTAGACAGCACGAGAAGTAATGCGTGTGGCTGTTCGGGTAGCGTAGTTGGTTCGCGATCGCGTTCAGGAACAGGTATCTACGAGTATTCGTTCTGATATAACAGTTATCACAATCTATCTATACATATATATTATCACAATCTATCTATCTTTATATATATAATTCTTCTGTGAGTGTGTATGTCACTGAACTTCTCTTAAACAACTGGAGCGATTTTGATGAAATTTTTTGTGTGTGTTCACGGGGATCTGAGAATGGTTTAGATTCACAATTTGTGTGTTTTTTTAATTAATTTTTAATTTATTAGTAGTTGTTGATTTTGGAATGTTTTACATTAGATCCGACAGATGGCTATGTGTATAATCCTGTCAAGCATTTGACGTTCGTCGTTTATCATTTCTTCCAAATTATTGTAAGCAATACGAAGTACGCTGGGTCAGCTAGTACATATATAAAACTCAAAGGTGACTGACTGACAATTTACTGGTGTGTAACGTAGTGTTCTATCAATTTCCTGGGATAACATTCCTCCTAACCCATATGAGAACACAACGTTACAATACCCAATGGTTTGAATTTTGGTGCGAAGGCGCATTGTAGGTTTCAGAACACTACATTACAGGTGGACAACCATTATCAATTAAGTATATGAAAAATAGATAGTAGCCGATTCTCAGACCGTTTCGGAGGAGTATGGTAACTAACATTGTGACACGAGAATCTATATATATATAAAACTAAAAGGTGACCGACTGACATAGTGATCTATCAACGCACAGCCCAAACCACTGGACGGATCGAGCTGAAATTTGGCATGCAGGTAGATGTTATGACGTAGGCATCCGCTAACAAAGGATTTTGATCAATTCTACCCCTAAGGGGATAAAATACCGAAGCGAAGCGAGGGTGGGCCACTAGTTGAACATATTTTTTAAAAGAATAGTTGGGGTGTGATCTACAATCGATTCCGAAGCCAAAAATATAATTTTTAGATTTTTTGTTTGTATCCGGGATAAACTCAAAAAGTAGTTTAGTTTAGTTTTTCAGGGCGGTTTCCGCACTTAGTCCTAATCATTGGACCATTGTGCGTGTCTTGAAACATTCCCGTTTACTCCAGCCAGCCTAGGTTAGTCCAGACGGAAAGCAGTCTTGACAGACTGCTGCAAGCTTCCAGAAGCGATGCGGGTGACTGGAGAAGTCGTGCCCGTTGGTCGGCCACACTCCTGCATTCCATAATGACATGTTCTGCCTGCCGTTCTGTCTGTTACTCCTAATGTGTAAAGGTGCTTGTTTAGGGGACAATGACCAGTTAGGGTTCCTATAATTATGCGGAGTTTGTCCCTTTTAAGTCTGGTAAGGGTGCGGGCAAGTCTTTTATTTGCCTCCGGAACTGCGTTTTTCGTTTGCCGGCATCCTTCACCTGTTTTACACTCAGTCAAGTGTAGTTTCTGAGTTCTTTCACGCAGCCACGTCTTAATTTGGGCCTGAAACTCAAAAAGTACTGCATGGATTTACTTCAAATTTGCCACGCATATTATTATGAAGTCGGGTCAACATATAGGCTACATATTATCACGCTATCACCTACGGGGAACGAGCAGTGAACCTTTATTTCTAACTAACTCCACGAGTACGAAGTCGCGGGCGGCCGCCAGTAATATTATAAAGGCGAAAGTTTGCGAGTGTGTATGTTTGTTTCTTCGCGTCTAAACGGCTGGAGTCTGGCTGGCATGTGTCTATGTGACGTGTTCATGTGTTTGTGTGACGTGTTCATGTGTTTGTGTGACGTGTTCATGTATCTGTGTGACGTGTTCATGTATCTGTGTGACGTGTTCATGTATCTGTGTGACGTGTTCATGTGTCTGTGTGACGTGTTCATGTGTCTGTGTGACGTGTTCATGTGTTTGTGTGACGTGTTCATGTATCTGTGTGACGTGTTCATGTGTCTGTGTGACGTGTTCATGTGTCTGTGTGACGTGTTCATATGTATATGTGACGTGTTGTGTCTGTGTGACGTGTTCATATGTATATGTGACGTGTTGTGTCTGTGTGACGTGCTCATATGTATATGTGACGTGTTGTGTCTGTGTGACGTGCTCATATGTATATGTGACGTGTTGCGTCTGTGTGACGTGCTCATATGTATATGTGACGTGTTCATGTGTCTGTGTGACGTGTTCATGTATCTGTGTGACGTGTTCATGTGTCTGTGTGACGTGTTCATGTGTCTGTGTGACGTGTTCATGTGTCTGTGTGACGTGTTCATGTGTCTGTGTGACGTTTTCATGTATCTGTGTGACGTGTTCATGTGTTTGTGTGACGTGTTCATGTATCTGCGTGACGTGTTCATGTATCTGTGTGACGTGTTCATGTATCTGTGTGACGTGTTCATGTGTCTGTGTGACGTGTTCATGTGTCTGTGTGACGTGTTCATGTGTTTGTGTGACGTGTTCTGGTATCTGTGTGACGTGTTCATGTGTCTGTGTGACGTGTTCATGTGTCTGTGTGACGTGTTCATATGTATATGTGACGTGTTGTGTCTGTGTGACGTGTTCATATGTATATGTGACGTGTTGTGTCTGTGTGACGTGCTCATATGTATATGTGACGTGTTCATGTGTCTGTGTGACGTGTTCATGTATCTGTGTGACGTGTTCATGTGTCTGTGTGACGTGTTCATGTGTCTGTGTGACGTGTTCATGTGTCTGTGTGACGTGTTAATGTGTCTGTGTGACGTGTTCATGTGTCTGTGTGACGTGTTCATGTGTCTGTGTGACGTTTTCATGTATCTGTGTGACGTGTTCATGTGTCTCTGTGACGTGTTCATGTGTCTGTGTGACGTGTTCATGTGTCTGTGTGACGTGTTCATGTGTCTGTGTGACGTGTTCATGTATCTGTGTGACGTGTTCATGTATCTGTGTGACGTGTTCATGTGTCTGTGTGACGTTTTCATGTATCTGTGTGACGTGTTCATGTGTCTCTGTGACGTGTTCATGTGTCTGTGTGACGTGTTCATGTGTCTGTGTGACGTGTTCATGTGTCTGTGTGACGTGTTCATGTATCTGTGTGACGTGTTCATGTATCTGTGTGACGTGTTGTGTCTGTGTGACGTGTTCATGTGTCTGTGTGACGTGTTCATGTCTCGCTTTGAGTCCAATGCCAACTTACCGTCCCTCGTAGTCGAAGTCGACGGTGAAGTTCTGGAATATATCCATGTGCGCTGAATGCGCGATCGTAGACATATTGGGGGTCTGGCCCTTGGCGCGAATGTGTGCTATCGCCTGAGTGCCCACGTACAACACCACAGCGTTCATCAGCTGGCTGTTGTAGCGGCGCCCGGGCTCGTTCACCACCTACATTTATAGCCCGAATTTATTCACGTAAACAATGCCGTAATTACATTTGAAGAAGTTAAGCAACTTTCGCAGTGGTCGGTCATTGGATGGGTGACCGAAAATTTACTATCTCGAGCTCTTTCGTGCTTCGGAAGGGTCGCTAAGCCATTGGTCCCGGGTGCACATGTCAACATGCCTTCCGAAGCACGGAGGAGTGAGAGACAGTAAATTTATGATCACCCATTCAGTGATAGGCCATTACGAAAGTCGCTTAACGTCAATAATCGCAGCCGAAGGCACTAAACACTTGTGCCATGGAGCTCCTCCCAGTTTACGTAATAAGGGCGGTAAATGATAATGATAATTGTTAAAGAAATAATTTTATAGCACAGTGTGACCTAAACCCGCACTTTACGCACGCTTTTCCGTGACCTAAGTTGCCTATTTCTGCACGGTGTGTAAATGAATTGACCAACTTCACTCATGTAGAAAAAATAAAAGGAAACACATTTAAATGTCATTTGGAGCTTAAAAACTCACAGCAAACAAATGACAAATTAGCGATAGGTTAGGGATTTTCAGTGACAGCCAAAACAAGGAGAAACGGTTAGCTATAATTCATTCTGCGAGAATTGTATCTTTTGGTCGAAAATGGGATTGCTGAATCAGCGCGATCGCTGAATTCTTGTTTGAATTATACGAGTACAAAAAATAAAGCTCATTCCCGTTGTTTAATATATTGTTATGCCAATCAAGGAATAAACGTTCATGGATACATTGAAATTCTATTTTGTTGTTATGATGACGACCTCCGTGGCCGAGTGGTTTGTACGCCGGGTTTCATGGCTGTCGCCGACTCGAGAGGTCCCGGGTTCGAATCCCGGTGGGGGCAGATGTTTGTGTGATGGATGTTTAATATGTATTTATATAAATATACTTATATATGTACAGTATATGTATTCTATCCGTTACCCTAGCATCCCATAACACAAGCCTTATAGTGCTTACTTTGGGGCTAGGCTAATTGGTGTGTGTCGGAAATTTTTATTTATTATTTATTATGATATATGATTTTTTCCTTTTGAAATATACTTTCAAAATGGTAATCTGAACCGGAATTCTTTCTTTTCAGAGTTTGACTTGCAGTCTGTATTGCAATTCTTTGTGATTGCAATACATGAATAAGAGTAACTTAAACGCTAATAGGCAACTTAGGTCAAGCGTATCGTAATGTACTATGTAATTCAATAAATAGAATCAGACACTGAATGAATAGTCTTAAAACTAATTCTTTGTTTCTTTAATAAACACTTTTTTGACAAGTATAAAATGCGATTATTAACCTTTTTCCATTATTCCTGAAGTTTCAAATGCTTTGAGGATTCTGCGGTAGTCAAAACTCAATATCAAAAAGCGTTTTCTCAAATGACTGGTGTACGTAAAACATAAGAATTAAAATGTAAAATTTATTTTTCTGCTAATAAAGAGTTAGTTATGATTTGGCGCCCTTCATGGCCGAGTGGTTTGTACGCCGGGTTTCATGGCGGACTCGAGTACTCATTCGAGTACCGGTAGGGGCAGATGTTTGTGTGATGAATACGACCATTAGTACTCCAGTCGTAGATGTTTATTATGTATTCTTAAATAAATATACTTATATATGTATTCTATCCGTTACCCTAGTATCCAATAACACAAGCTTTATAATGCGATTCAAATAAGAATAGGAAAGCCAATGACCTCCGTCTGTCAAATGTCGCTTGAAAAGTACGGTTTGCAAAAAAAATCTTGGAACCCGGGTAATTCTAGAATAAAAACCAAATTTTTGTAAACAAACAATAACAAATATTAATGATTAATATTGTTCAATATTTTTTGAGCTTTGGCTATGACTGTTTGATTACCTAAATCGTCAACCAAATGTCACTTTAAGTTGCGTTCATAAACTCGATTTAAAACTTTCGTTTACATAAAGGATGCATGTTCGTATGTGACCTAGCCATAACTACTCCTAGTATACATGATTATTCATAACTACTCCAGCGGTAATGCAGGGATGAGCGGAATTGGAGAGCTAGATTCTGTTTAATGTTTTCTTCACACAGTCTTAATAAATAAATATTATTAAAAATCGGTTGGTTTTTTTTAACTTAATAAATATTTTTTTTAAAGAATCTGATGATTTTTCTCACCTAATCTTAGAAAATAAGTTTTAGCAAATAAAAACTTTTTTTTGCTCACTCTACCTATTTTGTTTGAATTGACAGCTATGACGTCACAATATGGCGCCCAGTCGGTCCTATTCTTAGTTGAATCGCATTATAGGAAGCTTACTCTGGGGCTAGGCAAATATTTAAGAAAAAAATAATAAACAAAACTTACCTGCATGTTGCTTCGCAGCTCCGATAGGAAAGTGACAGGGGTGCGCGCCTTCAGATACGCGTCCAAATCCTTCTTGAACTGCGACGAGGGTATGATAGTGGCGTAGTTGATGACCGCCCTGGGTGGAAGCGTTATCTCCGCCAAAAGATCCACCTTCAGGTTGGGCGTGAACGGGTCCGGGAGGCGCATATTGCGCGGGAAGGCCGACAGGATCAAATTCCTCATCTGTATACAGTTCGGCGGTATCTCGTCGCAGAAACCGTAGTGATAATCGCACAAGAACTCCGGGAAATCATGCAGCAGAACCAAGAGAACCTTCAGCGTCCCCTTGTACAACATCATCACGGGTGACGCCAGCTCAGTGTTCCTTAGGAACGGGTCCAGGAATTTGAACAAGTCGATCAGCAGCGTGGAATACATGCCCCAGCCCTGCAAGTACAATTGCCACTGGTTGTATGTCGGCACTCTATGCCAAACTTATCTCAACTTGCATTGGACATTTAGGACAACACATCTAACTGAAAAGACTTAATGCGAGTAATTAGAAAGATCGTTTTAATCAAAAAGGTACCATTTGTTATTCATGCTTGAAGTTATTTTAGCAATTTGTTTCTTTTCACATATTTTGGTTTCACTTGCTACAGAAATGCAAACATGCTTAAGAGATTCGATTGTTTTTAATTGATCGATTTGAGCAACAACCACGAATGCCAGCACACGCTTTAAGACTGATAGCATTCATTTCGTCACTAAAGGATAATGAACCAATGCAAGACAAACACACAAAAACAGTTTCCAAGACAAACCTTAATCCGCTTGTAGAGCAGCTTGGGAGAAAATCATGACAAGATTATGCAAAACTTTCAGGGCGCTTGTATACAATGAGAATGTTTGAGGGATCATGGTGTATTCTTGTCAAAAGAAAGCTCCTATTTTACTAATGCAATATTGAACTCAGTTATTTTATGTTAAATCAAATGAAATGTTATTGAGAGAATGGTGAAACTGAATTAACTACTGATTTGATATTGACAAAAATAATATACTGCAATAATATGAAAAGCTGAATTTGGAAACGATTTCGTCAGACAGACAGACAAACAGATCCGTCAGTATTTCTCAAGATATACAAGTGCACTTGGTATTTCAGAAAAGCAGGGTAAGACCAATTTCAAACACATGACAAAAATATTTACAAAAACACAAGGACTTTTTTCTACATTTTGTAGGAATATGAAACCATACAAAAGTTGTGTCAAAGAATTCTATTATTTAAAGAAATATTATATATTTTTTATGATGTTTTGTTTATATGGGAATATACATATAACAATGGTTCAAGAACTTAATGCTAATTGTATTTATGTAATAGTATATTTCTGCTGCTCAAGATTAGGGCTTAATTTTAAAAATCAAAAAGTGATCTCCGATAGTTTATATTCATTTGATGATCACTATAAATTCTAAAGTATTTCTTTAACATAGCATACTATTATAAGTTATATGGAAATGTTAAGAGTAGTGCCCTTATAGGTAAATATTGTCATAAACGCATGTTGCTATCATACAAAGTACGTTTTGTAACGGTTTGTACTGTTTTAAATTCAGTTCATTATTGCGATTTTATTTTCATATCCATACAAAATGTAATATAAATTTCACCAGATTTTCCCTGAATCAATAAGATTTGGTTGAAAAATGTATTTCAAAAGGTGTGATGATGGCACATTACTATAAATGTTATTTGTAAAAGAATTTAGTGCCTTAGCAGCGAAATGCGCTTTGGATAGGTATTATTATTATTAAAAAAAAATGTAATGTTAATCTCATCTAGGGTGTATTCCGAAATATAAACCAGTACGCTAGCCAGTGGTAATGACGTCATGATTTCGACGCCATATTGCACTGTTGTAGTAGGAGTGTTGTCAATATGGCGTCGAAATCATGACGTCATTACCACTGGCCAGCGTACTGGTGTTTGATTCGGAATACACCCATAAATTCGGAGTTTTAGTTTGGGCTCTACAAAACTATATGTACAAGTGTTCAAACACTTTGAATATTTTCGATATGTTGGAATTTCTTTCCAACATTGTGCTTTTTATGAGCATGGCAAAGAAAGAGCTTAGTGAGCATTCAGCCAATGGATTACTAAAAAACTTGACCTGCTCATACAAAATAATAAATAATGTGTATTAATTACATCAAAAATATTCAAAGTTCGAAAAAACAAAACGAAAATCTCGTGACAAATCTAAACATGGTGTAAGGTAATTCAGTGAGCTAGCGTTTAAAGTTAAGATTCCCTAATTGTGTGCGCTTGCGCGTGTCGCTTGCAAACCTTTTGTTGTGGCGTGACGGCCAAGACGCGGTTGATGAAGGCCCGATGGGCGACGAGCTCGAGCCACGCGTAGCAAAAGCCGGGCGCAACGCTCGGCCTGATGATGCGGAGCGTATGGCAGAACGCGGTGAGAACCTGAACAATGGCCGCAATACAACTACTCGCCCACTCAATATATAGTCAGCTTTTTAATGTCCCCACTGCCGACATTACCCCTCTGCCCACTCAATATATCGTCAGCCTTTTAATGTCCCCACTGCCGACATTACCCCTCTGCCCACTCAATATATCGTCAGCCTTTTAATGTCCCCACTGCCGACATTACCCCTCTGCCCACTCAATATATCGTCAGCCTTTTAATGTCCCCACTGCAAACATTACCCCTCCGCCCACTCAATATATCGTCAGCCTTTTAATGTCCCCACTGCCGACATTACCCCTCTGCCCACTCAATATATCATCAGCCTTTTAATGTCCCCACTGCCGACATTACCCCTCTGCCCACTCAATATATCGTCAGCCTTTTAATGTCCCCACTGCAAACATTACCCCTCCGCCCACTCAATATATCGTCAGCCTTTTAATGTCCCCACTGCAAACATTACCCCTCCGCCCACTCAATATATCGTCAGCCTTTTAATGTCCCCACTGCCGACATTACCCCTCTGCCCACTCAATATATCATCAGCCTTTTAATGTCCCCACTGCCGACATTACCCCTCTGCCCACTCAATATATCGTCAGCCTTTTAATGTCCCCACTGCAAACATTACCCCTCCGCCCACTCAATATATCGTCAGCCTTTTAATGTCCCCACTGCCGACATTACCCCTCTGCCTACTCATTAAATCAACAGCCTTTTAATGTCCCCACTGCAGACATTAACCTTTCACCCACTCAATATATCGTCAGCCTTTTAATGTCCCCCCACTGCCAACATTACCCCTTCGCCCACTCAACATATCAATAGCCTTTTGATGTCCCCACTGCCGACATTACCCTTTCGCCCACTCAACATATCAACAGCCTTTTAATGTCCCCACTGCCGACATTACCCTTTCGCCCACTCAACATATCAACAGCCTTTTAATGTCCTCACTGCCGACATTACCCCTCTGCCCACTCAATATATCGTCAGCTTTTTAATGTCCTCACTGCCGACATTACCCCTCTGCCCACTCAATATATCATCAGCCTTTTAATGTCCCCACTGCCGACATTACCCCTCTGCCCACTCAATATATCAACAGCCTTTTAATGTCCACACTTCCGACATTACCCCTCTGCCTACTCATTAAATCAACAGCCTTTTGATGTCCCCACTGCCGACATTACCCTTTCGCCCACTCAACATATCAACAGCCTTTTAATGTCCCCACTGCCGACATTACCCCTCTGCCCACTCAATATATCAACAGCTTTTTAATTCAATATATCGTCAGCCTTTTAATGTCCCCACTTCCGACATTACCCCTTCGCCCACCCAATATATCATTAGCTTTTTAATGTCCCCACTTCCGACATTACCCCTCTGCCTACTCAATATATCGTCAGCCTTTTAATGTCCACACTGCCGACATTACCCCTCTGCCCACTCAATATATCAACAGCCTTTTGATGTCCCCACTGCCGACATTACCCTTTCACCCACTCAACATATCAACAGCCTTTTAATGTCCCCACTGCCGACATTACCCCTCCGCCCACTCAATATATGGTCAGCCTTTTAATGTCCCCACTTCCGACATTACCCCTCTGCCCACTCAATATATCAACAGCTTTTTAATTCAATATATCGTCAGCCTTTTAATGTCCCCACTTCCGACATTACCCCCTCGCCCACCCAATATATCATTAGCTTTTTAATGTCCCCACTTCCGACATTACCCCTCTGCCTACTCAATATATCGTCAGCCTTTTAATGTCCACACTGCCGACATTACCCCCTCGCCCACCCAATATATCATTAGCTTTTTAATGTCCCCACTTCCGACATTACCCCTCTGCCTACTCAATATATCGTCAGCCTTTTAATGTCCCCACTTCCGACATTACCCCCTCGCCCACTCAATATATCATTAGCTTTTTAATGTCCGTACTTCCGACATTACCCCTCTGCCCACTCAATATATCATTAGCTTTTTAATGTCCCTACTTCCGACACTCTTTATGAACCCTTACTCATCGTAATAATCATCGATCGTGACAGCAACTTCGACAGCATGTAAAGTCGACAAGCTCACTATAGTAACGCCATACGGATTAAATCCTATCCTGCTAAAAATCTCTTATCTATTAGACAAGTCCGTCCGTCTGTCTGTCTGTGGTGCTGTTTCAGCGGCCAAATCGTAAGAGATAGATAAAGAGAATATTTAAGTTACAAGTTAAGAATAGCCTGATAAGACTACAAACCGGATTTGAGTAACGTAGCACTTCCGGTTTTCGAGAAATCACGAATTTCAAACGAAACCACACAAAATCTCCGAAGTTCTCAATTAATTAAATACATTTTTTTTTTAAATCAGGTTTTGGTGAACTTTTGGTTCACTGGTTTGCAGTAAATATTATATATGTGGTAGTTTGCGAGTTTCTGTATTCGTTACGCAATCACGCAAAAACTACTGTACGGATTTGCACGAAATTTGGTACACATATACGGCTTACGACTTAAATTTTTATCCTGAAAAAAAAAAAAAGTTATGCACCTGATGTGGGTTCTCAAAAAACTAAAGTTACTAAACGCGGATGACTTCGCGGACGGTCGCTACAGTGGTACTATAAATATTGATATGCCTAGGGATGGAACGATACGAGTAAATACAAGTAACTACTCGATACTTTTCTTTCGATATCAAGTACTTTTGGCATCGATACTCTAGAACTGAGTAACAAGTAGTATCGTGAAATAAGTACTTGTATCGGTAATCGGTCGGTCACTCACTTAGAAGTATCATATAAACTCATAGGCAGATCATTCACTCTATGGTAAAGTGCAACAAAAATACTAACTGTATTTTTGTTGCGTATGATTTATATTTATTCCAATTTATTCAGTCTGTCAGTCAGTATTCGTTCATTGAGCCGATATTTTGTTTACGTTAAATAAAAACAGTGATTGAATTTGAAATTGTAATATCGTTCGTCAAAATTTATCGATATCGATACTTTTCATTCGATACCGAGTAGGCATCGATACTTTGTGAGCGATACAGTATCGAGTGAAAGTATCGATACCTAGATGGTATCGTTTCATCCCTAGATATGCCCAGTACAGTACCTGATAGTTCATAGATTCGAGGACTGGTTCGGCCATGTTCATGTCTAGGAACAGAATGAGCAGCAACCTGTGGTACGGCAGCTGCTGGAAGTTGACACCGTGCTCATCGTGATCTTGCAGCAGACAGCCGGCTATAATGCCTAAGATCTGGACAACATAACAATTTGGGCGTTTAAAATCTAAACAAAATATTACTAGAAAAAAATCTACGCGGGCCAGGGGGCCAATCGCCTAACTGGATTGCTTTGGAAAACGCTATCGCTTACGATTTCATTTTGTTATTTCTAGCCCCCTGAGGTTTTCAAATGCCTCGCGCTCTTTTTTTTTCTTTTGCATTGGTAATAACAATGTTAAAGAAAATGAGCGTGAGGTATTTCGGCGGTTAGAAATAACAAAATGAAATCGTAAGCGATAGCGTTTTCCAAAGCAATCTGGTTAGGCGATTGGCCCACAGGCAGACGGGACTTGAACCCGCACCCTTCGCTATCCGGGCGAATGCACTGACTGACGGCCGTGTCGAATTCCTTCTAGCCTTTCTTAAGCTGCAAGGCTGCGTTTTCTTAGCATTGTAGGTAACCCACAATATTTTCTTTAGATATAAAACATCGAGCAGTTAAATGATTAAAAAATAAAAATTATATTTTGCGCATTATTTAAACCTTTGTAGATAGATACTTTATTAACACACAATATAGATTAATGGCCAGTTTCAATAATTAATCAAACTTTAGTAAGGGGCTTTGTTTCCAAGATATTTTTATTATTAAGACTATAAAAACTGTTGCTAAGTAACGGAACTAGCTTATTATCATTACCTACGGAATGAATTATTGAAACTGGCCGATAGAGTTTCATTTTACAATGACAGTAGATACAGACGGTAAAGGAATAGATAAAAATATTTGTTAAATATTTTATGTATCACCTAATATATATATCTTTATATATAAATATATAAATGCACCTATCAGTCATTTAAAAAATCTTTTAGCTTATGAGAAGGACAAGTGCATGAAACTAAAGTGGAACTTTTTATTAGCTGCAGTGAAATGCCGTTTCTTGGGTTACCGCTTTTTGAAGAAAAATAAATAGGGATGTAGCTAAGTGAGTAAGTGAATCATTCAATAAATGAATGATCAGTTTAGTTTTGTTTTAGAGCTTTATTATTAAGTTGTAATATATTTTTTTATTCTATTATTATTACTATAGTATAAGATTGATCTTTTTCAGTGGAAGTATAGGGACGTACATCCACCATGAAACAAAAATATCGTAACAATATTATTATTATTTTTCAATCATTTTCGGAATCACTATAGCTGTCGCTTTCGGTCACACTAATGACAGTCTTTTATTTATATGAATAATAAATAGAACGAAGTATGAACATTATGAGTTAGTTATGAAACGACTAGATTTTGTGTGAACCTAATCACATCCCTGTTATAATTAGACGGTTAACATTATTTTACGGAATGACATTTTGAAACGTCATTTTACTGCAGCTAATAAAATGACGAAGTATAGTCAGAATTTAACAAAGAAACATTCACATAAGCCATGTAGCTACCAATAAAATTTTAATCATATCATTGGAATCATTTCACAATCAAAGATTACGTAAAGTAGACTACTCACTTTATTCAGTAAGTTGAGCTTCGGCGTTGGATTACCGCCATCAGCAGTGTTTTTTATCAACAGGGAAACTAATTTTATGAAGGAATCACAGGTCGCATAATATTTCTCCCTCTTAGCGGGGTTCTGAGGGGGATTGACCCTCTCTTCGGACAGCTGTTGGTACACACTTTCGATGCACATCTGTGTGGCTATCCGGAAGAACCTGGTTATCATGTCGTCTGACTTGAGAATGCCGTTCATGTTCATGCGGTGGACGTATAGATTGAAGTTCTGAGCTAGCTCGATCTCGGTGAGGGGACTGAGGAGAACGTTGCGCCATTCACGCAACATATTGTCAGTCTTCTCTTGCAAGCCAGGCGGGTCGTCGTAGTCGCGAGCCTGCGCAAACGTTCAGTGTGTTCTTGTGCGAATTTTTTGAGTGAAATTTAGTTTCCGTTAGGCGGATTTTACCATTTACACTCCATAAATGGAAAAATCCTATGGAAAAGATAAATAAATAAATATTTCCAACACTCACACCAATAGGGGTGATGACGGGGTACAGTAAACGAAATTCTATTTAGTCCGGCAGTTAGATTATCAAAAAATAATGGACACGTATTTTTTCTTTGGGCAATCAACCAAAATATGACAAAGTTGTAGCGCGTCAAAGTTTAGGAGTAGGGGCTCGTGACGTCACTTTTGAGTGAATTTTCACTTATAAGTGTACTCAAAAGTGACGTCATGCGACTTCTCAAATCAATATAACTCTGCAATGTTTATATTATGTGAAAAAAGAAAAAATACGTGTCCTATACTTTTTGATAATCTATCTGATAAACGAAGAAAAAAAAATTAGTCATCATCCCTATTAGCTTAGCCCCAAAGTAAGCACTATAAGGCTTGTGTTATGGGATACTAGGGTAACGGATAGAATACAAATTCTTTACTTATATAAGTATATTTATATAGAAATACATAAATATTAAACATCCATAACTGGAGTACAAATGCTCGTGTTCATCACACAAACATCTGCCCCCACCGGGATTCGAACCCGGGACCTCTCGAGTCGGCGACGCCATGAAACCCGGCGTACAAACCACTCGGCCACGGAGGTCGTCTCGGACGAAGATGAATCGGAAATGACTATATATCGTCGTAAGTAAGATATGTTTTACATTTTATGCATTAATGAGTTTTTTATTTGCATGGCTTCATTATTGCACGATTATTAATTATTGAATGCGTATATTTTTTACGAACACTTGTACGTTAGTTATACTTTCTTTATTCATAAGAGTGAAGGTATATCGCCAACTTAAGAGCTCCCTGGTTTGTGCGATAAATACGAGCATTTGTACTCCAGTCATGGATGTTTAATATGTATTTTCTAAGTTATATACGTATCAATATTTGTATTCTTTCCGTTACCCTAGTATCCCATAACACAAGCCTATAATGCCTACTTTGGGGTAAGGCTAATTGGTGTGAGTGTTGGAAATATTTATTGAAGTGAAACTTCTTTATCGGCGTTGGAAAAAAAATTACCGTCACATTTTTTTCGGTTACGCGTCACGTTTTTTGGTTACGCGTCATCTTTTTTTAAAAGAGCACTATTTACTTCATCCGAACAATTGCTTCTTCTGTCAACTTTAAAAAAAAAGTATCGACAGCAAATATTCGTGTTTCACACAAGGTAAGGTAAGGTAAGGTAAGGTAAGGTAAGGTAAGGTAAGGTAAGGTAAGGTAAGGTAAGGTAAGGTAAGGTAAGGTAAGGTGTAGTTATACCCCTTTAGTGGGTGAGTTTTTGAAAAATCTTAGCGCACGCCTATATATATATTTCTGGAAAGTTGCATGTACATCATTTTTCGAAAAAAATAAGGCCATAAAGAAGTTTCACTTCTTACGTGTGTACACTAGTACACGCACACATTTTTTTATTCATTTAAACTCACCCGCACTTGCATGATGCCAGCATGGATATGCGCAGTTGGTCCAAGGGGAGATCGCTCCCCCAGATACGCGCTCGGGTCCTGATTCACTCGCAGCATTTCAATCAGCGTGCCCAACCCCTCGGGCGGGGGCTGGCGCGAATGCGACATGATACGGTAGAGGGTCTCAGTGGTATGGTACAAGTCGGCCTCATTGGCGTACAAGTTATTCCTGTCGTCGACAAGGTACAACTGTACCAGCTGCATTGCGAACGCAACGGCCATGTAGTTGTTGCCGTTGTCCATCAAATGGGCGAGAGAGATATCATACTGTTGGCAAGCAAAACATGATATATTGTTTTAAACTTTCATGGTCACTAACATTAAAAATAAATAATATAATAAATATATCTTTATTCAAATAAGGTCATACATTGCATAATAATACTAATAACAATATAAAATACAAAATAATGGATGCCTGAACTAGGTTACAGTTAAAATTGTACCTGTATTTCAAGCTTTTATGATCTAAATAATACATTGAATGATTAATAAATTAACAAATTAATTAAAACAGAACTTAAAGTAATCATTATATAAATGTTGGTAAATGTAAATTATGGAGTTACGTTCATTTATTTACAAATAAGAAGTAATTCTTCGGTCTGCTCGTATGTCAGGCTGTGCAAATAATTAAATACTACAGTTCTACAGTTAAAATAGTTTAATGTATAAATACCTAATACTCTATTTAACTTATTATATAAGAAAGGACTTAGGAAAGTAGAGAATCTATGTGAAAAGATGTATTTTAAATCATGAACATTATAGCTATTAACGGGATTGTTACCATATACCTTGTTTTTTATGAGTCTCCGATATTTCGGCACTGTTGCAAGCGCCATGATCATGATCCAGTGGTTCGTATGTGTAAAAACCGCAAAAATCAAAAAAGTGTCGTTCCGCGATCTGATACTGTGAGTATTGTGTGCCGGGAACAAATGCGAGTGAATAGTGAGAATGTGACCAGTGGTAGTGGTAGTATCGAACGCAGTAAAAGACGACGTCAGAGGGTAGACCGATATGTCTGCCAATAACATCTACCCGCAATTACTTCAGTTACTCCGTGATCATGGCGCTTGCAACAGTGCCGAAATATCGGAGACTCATAAAAAAACAAGGTACATGGTAACAATCCCGTTAATATCTATAATAAAACATGATATGATATAAATCCTGATTAATGTACGTCAAATGTTTAATTTATAGATTATATTAATTGTTACTCATTCGCGCAAAAGCTACTGGAATGGATTTTAATTAGATTCAGCAAGTATATATAGTTTATCAACTGGATTGAGACAAAAAGGATACTTTTTATATCGAAAAATGTAAGGTTTGGGTATTTATTAAGTTTGGTACTGATAGAAAAGACAAGTAATTGTAAATAGGGAAAACAATAAATATAAGTGTCGCGGGAACTGCTGCCGACAAATTTCATTGTAGTTTGGCAGAAATATAGATATAAAGTGTTTTTCTTTGTGGAAAATAAATAAAAAAAAATTTGACTTGATTAATTTTTAAAATGGATTTTTAGAATTTGGATGGACCTAATGTGATTTAATATGATCAACAATTAAGTGAAATTAATGTATATATTGTTAAGCTCAAGTTTGTTGCAACACTCCAACGGGGTCATGTACCAAAAATTTTCAAAAAATCTTAATTAAAATTCATTTAATCAGCCTAGTAAAGCACTTGTAAAGGTCGACGAGCTACGCCATCGGTTTGCAATTCTACGGAGGGAGACCTTGTACTGCGCAGAACCGACAAGAAACTCAGCAAGGGCTGGCTGCCTTTACCTCCTTGTATCTCTTATCTAATAGACAAGTCCGTCCGTCCGTCCGTGGTGCTGTTTCAGCGGCCAAACCGTAAGAGATAGATATAGAGAATGTTTAAGTTATAAGTTAAGAATAGTCTGATAAGACTACAAACCGGATGTGAGTAACGTAGCACTTCCGGTTTTCGAGAAATCACGTGATTTCTATTTCAAACGAAACCACACAAAATCTCCGAAGTTCTCAATTAATTAAATACTTTTTTTTTTTTGGTGAACATTTGGTTCACTGGTTTGCTAGTTATTAACTATATACAAAGTCATCAAGTTGAAGAATTATTTCAGAGATAATTCTAGAAATCACCTTCCATTACAGCCAAATACCTAACCGAATAAATCTTAATATCGGCATTCCCTTTCATGACGCTACCAATTGGGCTGATGTAGCGACTTGACATGCACTTGTCGTTCATGTCTTTAAAAGAACTAAGAACTATTTAAATTAGACAAAAAAATCGTTAACTTGGCTATCGAAAGGTTTTCCTATTCTTCTTTTATTTGTGTATTTGCGTTGGCAGCCATTTCTCTAATAAATAAAATATATATAACACTTTTAGGTAACAACTAGAGTTGCAACGAATATTCGGTTACTATTAGGTATTCGGCCGAATACCGAATACTTAAATAATATATTTTGTCAAAGAGAAATAATTGGTAAAATGAAAAATAATATCGATTGATTACGTATATATTCATATTTTTATTTCTGTTATATATAATCATTTCAGTAGTCATTGGTAAATAATCATCTTCTGAATTGGCAAAATGATGGATTCTATGTATTTGAATTATTGTGGTAATCAAAATTTAAAAGGGTAAGGTTCTCATTTCTTTTATAATCATTTATTAAGTAGTGATTGGTACATAAAACAGATACATAATTTAATCATTTTCTGCATTAAACAAGTTAAGATTCTAGGCATTTGAATTATTTTCTGCATTTTTAGGAAGCAGTTTACTTCTTTAAGCTGCAATCTTAATCAAACACGGCAATTCAAATTTCCTTGATGCCACCATGTATACGGGTTGTCTTGACGTGATATATGACTAATATTTAAGAAAAGATCCATTTCTGTTGAAACTGCATTTGACTGAATTGCACTGCAAACAAAGGAGCGCGAAACAATCACGTCTGTACAAGTTTTTGGCGCTAAAATCCAGCCGAATACTTTTGCCTAATATTCGGCTATTCGGTCAGGGGCCTCGCCGAATATTCGCTGTTTGTATTTATATTGTGTGACACAGCAATCAAAATGCAGGTGAACAATTAATGTATAATTTCACATTATGTAATGAAAGGTGACTTCATGAATCATCTCCGAAGTCATTTATCAACTTGACGACTCTGTAAATAAAACAGGGAGAAAAAAACAGCCCTTGCTGAGTTTCTTGCCGGTTATTCTCAGTACAAGGTCTCCCGCCGTAGATTTACGAACCGATGGCGTAACTTCTAGACATTCATATATGCTTGTAACAGCCTAAACTCAATAAATGATTTTGATTATGATTACTGCCGAATAGGGATGCGCCGATCCGATCCGATCCTGTGAAAGATCGGATCGGAAGGCATACGATTTTTTGCCGCATCGTTACAAAACTTGAAAGATAGGATCGCTTGGATCGTAGGAATTAAAACGCGATTTGTTTACAATAAATTGGGTAGGTACTTACTAAGGTTTCTGTTACGAACTTTATCTTTGTTTACATTTTAACTTGGCTGCATTCTTTGCAGGTGGATCCGTTAATCTTATACATTCTATTATTATAAACAAAAGTTGTACCTGATTAGGTGTGACGATTATTGATAGGTTTACCAAATAAAAATCTAAAATAATTTGTCTTATTTATTGTATCCGATCCGATCCGATTTCTTGAAGATCGGATCGACGGATAAGATCGTAACATTACGATCCGAAAAATCGGATCGACGACCCGGATCGCACATCCCTATGCCGAATATACTATTCGTTGCAAGTCTAGTGACAACCACTGAACTCACCTGCGGCAAATTGATGAGGTGGTTCCGAATCAGACAGTCTACGGCTTCGATATTGTAACGCAGCTCCTCGCGGCATTCTGTGAGACAGTACGTGATCTGCTTGGTGGTCCACACGTGTCCATAGACACGGCCGTCCTCGAGTAGCTTCAGCACCCGCAAATGAATGTCCCTGTAGCGGGTCATCATGTCCACGTGCTCGCTGCTCGCACCCGGCTGTACGATGTGGCTGTCCAGTAGACCTTCCACAGCCTGATGAAGTAAAAATTATTAGAAAAAAAAATTGTAGGGCTGAATGGACTCAGAATCCTTTGCCCGTCCCAACAGGGACAAATTAACCAAAAAAAAAAAATTGTGTGTGTCAGCTCCGACGCACGACTGGAGTTTACTTATTTGTTTCTTAGGTTTTCACGCACATCACTCATTAAATAAAACTAGTTTTTACGGGTTAATACACGAAACTTTATTTATTTATTGACGTTTCGTAGCCTTTACAGGCTTCGTCGTCAGAATAAAACTTTTATTTAATTTGTCGAGCTACCTTCGAAAGACTTTTATTGAGCGTTTGGTTATTTCATTGATCGATTTTTAAGTTTTATTGTCTATGTATGAATTTATTATTTAATTTACTTAATGAAGTATTTTATTTAAATTTTTTTTTTGTAATTTTGAGTTTATTTATTTGACCCTAACTACCGTAAACTACTGGAGTTTACTTCTTAAGTTCGATAGTCTAACCAGACGCAAAAAGAGTTTATTTAACTTAAAAAAGATTGATACTGTATGAAACTTATATACGGGTAAATTAACAAATACTATATGGGTAAATTAACAAATTAATGAAAATAATATACATTTATAAATATATATTTGTTCATTTCATATACATTTATTATAAGTAATCGACGAAATATTTTACATTAAACTTTTTACAATAGTCAATTTCAGATGTGCATAAATAAAGGTACGCTACGATACTGTGCTACGGTGTAGCACTACGGCTGCTACAGCGTAGACAGTAAAAACGTAACGAGGTCATTCATCGATAGATTTCACTCCTCTCATTTTTCTCATACCGGGCCCCACAAATATGCAAATCGATTCTTAAGGAGTAAACTCCAAAAATCAGGGAGTTTTTGGCGGGATTTCATCGAGTGCGGTTGGCGTCTTATTTTAATTATTCATAATTTTTTTCAAAGTGGATATTGTGAAATAAAATTGGTGTGATTTTGTGTTACAAACCGTCTGCGCAACTGAAAAATTAGTGGAATCTTTAAAATATACGCTATACCGGTCAAGTGGACGTGAGAACTTTATTGTAGTATTGACTACCTCACAGAAGCTTATCGAAAAAGCCAACTCGATATATTTCGTGCCAAACACTCCAAGAAGCATCACACCCACATTCTAATGTAAAAAAAAGGAAGATTAAAAAAAATAAGACGATGGCTGCAAGGCTATCCCTTTGCCTTTCTCAATAGAGAAGAATAAAACTAAAAAAAATCACAGTATGCAGGTGTCAAAATCGTTAGAAAAAAAATTGGCAAGATTTTAATGTTATTGGCTTCATTTGTGGGTACTGGAGGTGGAGGAGCTTGATGGCGCAGGTGTTTAGCGCGTTCGGCTGCGATTGAAGTTAAGCAACTTTCGCAGTGGTCGGTCATTGGATGGGTGACCAAAAATCTTCTATCTCGAGTTCCTCCGTGCTTCGACAGGCACGTTAAGTCCAGTCCCGGTTGCATATGCAGTCATTAGGACCGGATAATCCGCACTGGGCCCGCAAGATGGGTCATGGCCCAATCTTCCTATTCCAGCCATAGCGAAGGCCTGTGCTCCAGCAGTGGGGACAGCAATAGGCTGATGATGTGGTGACTTTTAGTTCAGGTGTAACCGTTTTATTATAATTTTATTTTAGTGCAATAAACAGTACAGTCCGGCCTATGCTGAGCTTTACATTTGGAGCATCTCTTATCTATTAGACAAGTCCGTCCGTGGTGCTGTTTCAGTGGCCAAACCGTAAGAGATAGATATAGAGAATGTTTAAGTTATAAGTTAAGAATAGTCTGATAAGACTACAAACCGGATGAGAGTAATGTAGCACTTCCGGTTTTCGAGAAATCACGAATTTCAAACGAAACCACACAAAATCTCCGAAGTTCTCAATTAATTAAATACTTTTCTTTTTTTTTTTTTTGGTGAACATTTGGTTCACAGGTTTGCTAGTTACATAATAATTGTTTAGATATAGGTCAACTGCGATATCTGTATGACATATGAGTGTGAATGTAAGTCTGACTCCCAAGTCGGAAAACAATAAATAAATTTTAATATCGGCTTTCCTTTCGATGTCGCTACCAATCGGGCTGATGTAGCGACTCGATATGCCCTTGTCGTCTTTAAAATAACTACTTAAAGTAGACAAAAATTCTTTTACTTGGCTATTTAAAGGTTTTCGTACTATTCTTTTATTTGTGTTGGCAGCCATTTCTCTAATAAATCGAACAGTAAAAACAAAATATTTAAATAAAACACAAGGTATTGTGAAAATCAAATCTACTATTTTCTATGATCACACACTTATCATAGAAAGAAAGCATAGCTCACCGTAGGCTTCGCAGACTGTACCTAGCTAAGAATAACTAGAATATGTATAAAACATGTTTCAACAGGTTAGATGCACTGATTTTATTTATTTATCGACGTTTGGCATCCTTTGCAGGAATGAGGAGTCGGAATAATCAGAATCTATATATATAAAACTCAAAGGTGACTGACTGACATAGTGATCTATCAACGCACAGCCCAAACCACTGGACGGATCGGGCTGAAATTTGGCATGTAGGTAGATGTTATGACGTAGGCATCCGCCAAGAAAGGATTTTGATCAATTCTACCCCCAAAGGGATAAAATAGGGAATGAAAGTTTGTATGAAACTTTGTCAATTTTAAACCGATCGGGCTGAGACTTTGCATGCAGGTTTAAGAAGAATCATAGATGAATGTCATTGTGTATAATACAAGCCTGAGAACAAAAACTGTAGTCTACACTTCAGCTCTACACCGAAGCGAAGCGAGGGCGGGCCGCTAGTCGCCAATAAATAAACAAAATCAGTTCATCTAACCCGCTCAAACATGTTTTATTTAACGAGTGATGTGCGTGAAAACCTAACAAACAAATAGAAAATTTATGTTACAAAGACAGATATTCACCTTCTGCAATAGAGCGCATTTGGATACGATATCGCGGTTCCTTCTTGCGATGAACAAGCATTCGAGAAGGGAATGCATATTAGCAGTTTGCGCGGCCAACGAAGCGTTGCCCAACGAGTTGGCCAAGAAGAGTTCGGCCGCTGAAATAAGCCCTCCCATCTCGTCTGCGCCGTAGACTTGCGTCGGGTTCATTGCTTGACTGAACGCTAACTGAGGCAGTTGTTCCTGAGCGGAAGGCTTCGGGATGAACATCCCAGCGTCACGCACCGGCATAAATCCGGGGATATTGCACGCAAACTCTTCGTAAACTGCGATTTGCAAATCCGTCGGGCCACTGACGCGCAGGCGCACCCGCTCCGGTATCCTCTCAGTCTGATAAGCCAGCACTATAGGGTCATAATATCTCCTGCCCTCTTGACGGGCTAGTTTCCTCATTTCATAGTCATTCATTAGTCTCTTGTCGAGCTCGGGTAATGCCTTTTCTACAGCTGTCTTCTGAATAAAAGCACATGCCAGCTCCATATTTTCTGTAGCTAAGACTGCTGCAGCACTTTCGATGATCTCCTTCTGAAACATGTCAGGGTCTAAATCATGTTGCTAAGAAAGTAACAACTTTATGTACGAAAGATAAATTTACAATTATTAGATTCAAATTATCGAGGAGCTCGATGGCGCGGGTGGTTAGCGCGTTCGGCTGTGATCGTTGTAGTTAAGCAACTTTCGCAGTGGTCGGTCATTGGATGGGTGACCAAAAATTACTATCTCGAGCTCCTCCGTGCTTCGGAAGGCACGTTAAGCCGTTGGTCCCCGCTGCATCTGCAGTCGTTAGCACCCACCAATCCGCACTGGGCCTGCGTGGTGGGTCATGGCCCAATCTCCCTATTCCATCCATAGGGAAGGCCTTTACCCCAGCAGTGGGGACATTAATAGGCCGATGATGATGATGACTGTATAGAGAATAATAATGATGACCGAGAAGGAAATAACACATTACCTGTTGAGGAGTTGCTGGCATCAATGCCGTCATAAACGCAGCCTTCAAGTTAGTGCTGATGGTACTAATGATTTGCTCACGGCATGTTATCATAGCCATACCGGCTGTAAGATTCCTCATCATGTGATGCGCACAGGTACGCATACGTACTTCATCTGGGTCTAGTGCGAAATCTTTTCTGATGATCTGTTCGCATGTAGTGAGAGCGTACTTTATGGATCTGTCCACCACAGGATGAATCCATTCCTGGATAGATCTTTCGATAGCAGGTTTCACAAACTGTTTAAGATGCGGATAATTTTGGAACAATATGATGTGTGGGTTAAAACATAACTTCTGGCCGAACGCAGACGTCGAAGAAACGTTCACATCCAAATAGTTGAATCTTGGTTCGGGTAACCCGAGAACACCCATCAAACCAGGATCATTCGCTACGAGGCCGCTGGTGGGCGTGGGGGCGGTAGCAGACATGTCTTCCGTCGGGATCATCGGAGGCTGAGGTGGGATCATCTGCATCTGAGGCGTCTGCACTATGGGTTGGTTTACAGGCAAAGTATTTGCAGCCTCCTTATTTTGTTTCGGTTGCGAAAGCTGGAATTCTATCGTTCTCAGCTTTTCGGGATCTTTCAAATATAGTGTAGGTTTCAAGTCAGATATATCGAGGCTGAGATTCTTACACAACACTTCTATTTCAAACTTCAAGTTCAGTTTTAAATCAGGTTCTTGATGTAGTTCAGCCAAAACGTTCATCAGCGCCATTGACCAAGGGTTCGGAGGCTTGAACACGACACTCTTAGCACAAGATTCTAGAACCTTGGCAACGAATGGCACTACATAGAGCAGTTCTTGTTGTCCTTTGTGATAGGCTTCGAGTAACAGTGCCTTCAGATCTATGTCAATATGAAGTATTGGCTGGTTGCGAGCTAACGTTAACATGCCTAGCCAGTGTCCGAGATTCTTGAGAAGTGAGCGATCTGAAAAGTTGGCTATGCCTTTGTCAGAGCGCAATAAAACTTTGATGTTACGGTAAGTTTCTTTCGTTACCATTTTATTGATGTCTCGGATTTTAAGAACGTCAAGAAAATTGGAGTATAACGCATGGAAGTTGAGCTCGATAGAAGCTCTCTTCATGACAAGGTATTGTGACAACCAGGGATAGTACTCGTCTGTGATTATTTCCTTGAGTTCTTCACATTTCGTTTGAAGATTCAGCTGACTGAGGTTATTGAAAATGAATGCTGTTTTGTCCTGTATTGCCTCAGGGGGAGTATTTATTTTCTCTTCTCTATCGGTAGCAGTCAAAAGCGTATCTATATTAGTGGCGTTAGCGATGGAAGGTCGGCTTCCAATGCCTCCTGCAGCACAATTTGTTACTTTTGCTATCACAGAAATACTAGGCGCGCAAACGACAGCTCTGTAAACAAAAATAAATAATGTAAACACAAACATAATTATAGTGAACACTAACAATTTTGATTCTAGTTTAAAGTTTTTACCTGTAAGGTGCAGAAACCGTCACAACTGCACTTTGGTTGAGTACAGCCGCTAAGCTGCTGGGCAGCACAGCTCCCTGAGGTTTGGTAGGCGGTTCTTGACTCTGAAGTCCATATTCGATGTACTCAATAAGGTGAGGGGGAAAATCACTAAAATGTGGTATAGCTCTTACGTGCTCGCAATATTTGTGGTAATCTTTCAGACGCGATTTGAATCTGTCTAGCGCAGCTATACCAAAGTAGTACATTTTAGAGCCCTCGGGTTTCCGCAACGCGTCAAGCACGAATCGGAGAGCAAGCCCCAGCGAAACGTAGCTTGGGACAAGTCCCTTTTCAATGATGCCTCCAAAAAGTTGGGCGGTAATGTGTAGTTCTTTATCTGGATACTGAGGAAAGAACTTGTATTCCTCAAAGAGATTTCGAAGCATGCATGAGAAAACTTCTCGTTCCCTCTTGTTCGGTGAATCTTGGAACTTTTTCAACATGTCCAGTACTTCATCTATAGAAAGTGTTGGATGTGGCGGGTGGTTGTAAATCCTCTGAAAATATCCATTGGCTTCGTCTTCAATCTCCTTCGAAACATTGTGCATCATTTCAGGGAAATGGATTGGATCTGGAATTCTAGGTTTGTCCATTGCTGGCGCTGGAGCCATTCTGGCGAGAGCGCTCATGTTAGCTACGTTGGTGTTGTGTTGCAAGGGCATCATCGTGAAGGGACTATTCGGTCCAGCTCCCATGAGTCGAGATGGTGACCCAGGTGTTGTGACTAAGGGTCCGAGAGTACCGGGCATTGCAAATGCAGTATTAGCTGGAGCGCCCAAATTTAAATTCGCCACGTTCGGTGTCAAATTAGTAATAGAATCGACATGCGGAGTGAATAACTGCCCTGCCAAGCCCGCTGCAGGGTTGAACGGCGTTTCTAACACACGAGTATGCGGGCGTGCTAATCCCGCGATGCTTTGTCTTGTCTTGCTCAGAATAAGCGTTTGACAGTTAGCTATAACGTTGTAAATAGCTTCCTGCAACTCCTGTTGCACGTTGGGAATACAGAGTTGTAGGCAAGCCAGCATTGTGGCTATTGTTTCAGGTGGTAGTTGAGCTGCTTTGGGAAGTTGTTCTTCGGGTCCCTTACCGATCACTTGAGGACATCGCCTTTGCAAAAATTTCACCATAGCAGACACAAAAGTCTCACCGTGATCCCTGATTTTATCTGTTAGCCATTTGTCCAGTTTCAAGTATTCTCTTCTTGAGGCCAAACAGGCCAAATCAATGACGAACGGGAATGATTGAACATTCAGTAGTAAAGACAGAGCTTTGAGATCTTGCGCAACATCTAAAATCCGTGATAGCTTGGATTGATCACTCTCACCACGTATGTACCAGTCAGCCATTGCGTGCATAATAATTGGTTTAATATTGGGGTTCTGTGTATGCCAAGCGTGATGTAAAATAATGCCGGAGTTGGGGTGGTTGCCCAGAAAGATCGGTATTAGCGTTGTCAATAACTCTTGTCGAAATACTGTTACAGGTGGACTTATTTGTAGTAAAGCTAAAAGCAAGATGTCAGGACAATGCTGCAGTGGAAACTTTAATAATTCATGCACCTGCAAGTAATACCCGCGCTCTGCGGCATACAGCAGAAGTTCAACCAAATAAAGGCATCTCCAGGTTGCTATCTCTTTATTGTCTGTTTCTGGGGGTGATTTCAATAAATCTATCGATACTGGGTGAAACGGATGATCGGCAAAACTGAAGATGTCTGAATATTTCAGAATCATAGTGATCAAACTTATTTGCCCTTCCAAGTTCGTCCATCGACGGCAAAGATATTCCACGGGGAATATATTGGCCGGATAGCCCGCACTTTGAAGCCCTAATCTCAAGATGGTGAACAGTAAACTCAATCCTTGCCTATCAGGTACAATAAACTCTGGGTGATCCAGCTGCAAGATCACTTCTTTCCAATTCAAATTAGAAGCTAACTCTTTTAGTGTTTGCACAAATACTTCTGCATTCCACGATTCGCCATGTCCGAGTGTTATGTTGTCCTTCTTGGTCTCATGACTCATCCAGAAATTACCAGGCGTTTGAATCTGAGGGCCATCAGACATTGATGTATGATATCTTACCATCATAGATATTATCCTGGCCACCTCAATGGCAGTTGGTTCTCGGGCGCCAAAGTTTAACATGTTGTTTTTGCAATCCTCTACAGAAGATGTAAAGGAATATCCGATATCACGGATGATATCTGCAAGTGAGTTGTCCATCATGGCAGCAGCCATATCGTCGGCTGTTGTCATCTCCTCAAGTGGTGTCTGTGTATCGTCCGGATATAGCAGTGGCGCCAATACGATAGGCACTACTTCACGGGGGAAATCAATTCGCAAGCGTTTAAGAAATAAATCTTTCGTTACAGTGGCTAATTTCTCGTGCGCGATGCTAGTTAGTAGAGTTTGCAAAACTTCAGGGCTGCATTCCTGAAGACCTGCACGCTCCACCTGATGACCACGTTCTGTGAAACATTAAAATAAAGTCACCAATCTGTTAATGTAAACGTACAATATAATACAGAAATCCAGCTATCTTACCTGCGTCTAGATAACACTGCACGAGATCCAAAAATCTCTTTTTCAGATGTTGCTGAGCTAACGATACTATTTCAGTTTTTGAAGAGTTTCTCCTCAAAACCAAAGAGAAGGCAACATCCTCAGCAGTGGTTAACTTTAATAATCTTGAGAGTCGATTCAGTAATGTATTTGAAGGTTTTAAAATCTGCAAGGAACATTTCATTGGAAGCATGAAGTAGGTACTACAATATTTACCAACTATTCTATGAAACTAACTACATATAATATCATACGACAACTAATTGCCCATATACTTTGAGAGCTAACATTTAATAAAAACATTAATTTATGAAATACAATTAGTACCTACATCTGTATGATGTCTGTTATGTCCATGTGTTTATTCAAAATCTCCATGGCCTCCTAGCCAGCTGCAGTTAACAAAATATTTTTCACAAATACCTTATTATCAGAATGATGATTAATTAACATTAAAATGAAATAAATTCCTACTTGTATAATATAATATAAAACACGAAAAGATTATATAAATCTAATTACTTTGAAACAGTAATGTGAAGCTTCAAGAGTAATTCAACTTTAAATCATAGAAAACGTAGCATCTCTTTATTATTTAATGTAGTTATAAAAAAAACAAGTGGAATTAAGTCAACAGCATCCTCATTTATGAGGGAAATTCGTAAAAAATTAATTACATAATTATATTCCTCATTTTTTTATAAAATTATAAATTTTAACCTTTGATCGATTAATTCGTTTTATTGCTAATGTAATTCTGTTTGTAGCATATAAAAAGATTATACTTGTAGATTTAAAGTATTATTTTTGTAGACAATTTAAATTTAAGGTCACCTTCCTAAAGCTTCTATGTACAAAACATGCATATTATCTTTAGCAACAATTATAAATTTACAACTCTGTCTAAAGAGGAACCGTCGAAATCATGTAGGGTGGACATACAGACAAATACAGGTGGATCTCATGAAGTCTAATGGGCAACTAAAATGTAACTATGAATATTGGCTAGCTACTTATGTTATGTGTTGTAATTACCTTTTGGAGTGAGCGTGTTGGTTGGTCGACTGCTCGGCAGACTACAGTGGATTTTGCCGGGTGGTTGAGTAGGGCTGCAAGCTGTGCGGTCAGGAGGGACGCGTGGACACTGGTGCTCGACGACCCTGACCTGTCGCTGTCCCACGATGACTTTGCTGCTTCACTAAGCAAGCACCTCAAGAGCTGATTCTCTGCTTCCAGTCCATAAAGACTGACAAGCTGTGAAGGAAAGCATCAATATTAAAGGACTAAAAAGGAAATACAACATAGTTCAGTGTGCTTACTATGCAGAGAATAAACATTGAAAACCTAATGAGAAAATATAACTAATTCTACAATAGCTTGTGCATGACAAACAAATTTAAATCAAAATAAGTCTAATTATTTCTATACAATCTAATGCTCTATCTGCAAGAAAGCCAAATATATTCTATATACTTAATATAGAACTTCGCAGGGCAAATTACAAAAAAAAATGCAATAAAAGCATATTAACTAACACACATAAATGTACACTCGCTTATTGCAAACTGATTCAGTTCAATATGTCAATAAATTTAAAATGCTAACATTACATTTAACATAATCGATAGAATCTAAGTTGTGATGACAACTATTGAAATTCAAACAAAACTTAGTTATATTATCACCCATATTGCAATTTAGCATCTTAAAACTATACAATCAACATAATATAACTTCATGGTGAATGAAAAGGCTGAATTTAACTTGACATGGGTACAGATCTAAGCAGTGGGAGCTAAATTTAAAATTAAACCTTTTTAAAGCGAGTAATATTGTAACTTCTTATTATTTTGTTATTATTTCATAATTCATTAGGTACCAAGATTAACCAGTATCTTACTTTTTTTTTTGTATTTATTAACTCACTATATCTATCAAATGGCAATATTGTAGAACAAAACTGTACTCCTTAATAAGTGGGCATCATATCATATCATTTTGGAATAAGCCTTACAGTAAAGTTAAATAATCATATTACAAAACACTAACAAATGACTTAAAGATCATTTAAGACAGAATGAACCTGAACTGAACCACCAAACTGGTACATGTGACTGGATGATTTATTCTAGTAAATGTGAGCTTTAGATTATCAATTAAAGGATGCAGCCAGCTCAGGACCTATCAAGATCTTTCGGGACATCTATGCTTAGCCATGAGTAAACATGTCTTAATGATGATGATTTTTATTAACTAAAATATTTTTTTCTGCTTACATGTTTTGCTTGTACACCACAAAATCATATAGTTATGCAAAAAAAAAGCATATTTAGCATGATTATTATGGTTATAATTTTTATTATTTTTAAAGCATGTAACTGCTTGATGTTTAAATCTAAAGAAAATATAACTAGAAAAAAAAATATGATTATATAATGATTATTATGCTTATAGCACAATGAAATTTGTCTAACGCTCGCAAAAGCAGATGAAACATACAATTACCTTCAATGAATGTCAGTTGTGTTTTAAACTCTACATATATATCATTAACAAGTAAATGTTATCATCTGTCAGCAGAGCCAGATAATAATAAGCTATTAATTGCTAAATCAATACTGAATTTATGTTAAATCTAAATTGTGATTTAAAAGCTTTGAAAATTTAAAACATTAGGTCACCAATATGATGGGCTAAAATTAAAATACCTTTAAATATGATTGAAAGTATTTACAGTTTATTGAAGACATGTCAGTATTGATTTAACAATTTGATGTAGATGACAAACCCTCTTTATTATCAAACTGAAACTAGCAGCCACCAGCTAGCAGCCGACAGGGACGAAACATAGAAGATAGGGCCCGGGCCCTATATTTATTAAATATATTAGAATTTTTCATTGCGAAATTACAAATAATATTAAAAATTAACATGATATTAAGAGTTTAAGTTTAGGTATTATCTCCTCACCTAAAAATGATTTATTATTTTTTTAAAAGCTGTATCTCATCTCCTACACATACGAAATTGTTGAGATTTTCCCCAGAACTTCTTTTTAGGGCGAAGAAATAGTGGGTGTAATTTCAGCCAAGATACTCTAATAAGTTTAGTTGAAAAAAAAAAGTCTCAAGAAAATGTCGGCTGCTAGTTTCAGTTTCATCTCTTTATTTTAAGGATGCTATTGATATAGAGGTTATCTTCTTCAGGTTGCTAGAGTTGAAGTTAAGTAACTTTAGCATAAGATGGGTGACCAAAATTTATCATCTTAAGCTTCGTGCTGAATGTGCCACCACTCGACATTGAGACTCAGTGGTTTGCCCATTCTCATTTTCAATCCCTAGGAAAGACCTATCTTCATGCTGATGATGCCCATACTAAATGTAATTAAACATTAGAAAAGCATTTACTCAATACATTGTACACATGAACATTGATATTGTATAAAGCATTTGTACTTGGTCATAACCAGAGATGGTCAAATTTTATTTGAATATCAAATGTATAATATTTGCTTTTTTTTATTCTCAAATAATACATAAAAAATAAAACAAGGAATAAGTATTTTAATTAATTAGCAGGTTTGACAATAAATATGATTATTTCCTGATGTTTTTTTCATCAATACCCTTCAGGCTGCATCTCCAGTCATTAGTACCCACTAATCCACACTGGGCTTGCATGGTGTTACTGCCCATTCTATCTGATGATGATGAAGACGAAAATAATTTGTTTGCATTTGACAGATTTGTCATAGTGGCATAAGAAAAAGTGTTTTGCTGATGCAGGTGAATGCCATGGTGTATTGTAATAATCCCTTTCATGTGTTTTTTATTTACAAAAGTCCAGGAGGCCTACTCCAATTCAACGAAAAACGAAATTTCGATCGAAACTTCCCACTTTTCTTACTATGTTTCTGGTTAGTTTTTAATTATTATAATATTCGTCGCCGGAATATAGATTGAGATGTACATTTTCTAAGCCTACTCAAAGAAAGCTTTAATTTGATAGGTTATCGTTCAAATTAAGTAAAACCTTAAATTGACAAAATTAAAATTCGTTTGAACTTAGTAATCGAAAGTTCGTTTCGGAGAAAGAGAGTAGACTCCCTGGTAACAGTTGACAAAATACAATGTACATCAGTTTGTCTTATCGCTTATAAAAAATGAGTTTTCAAATATTATTTAAAATAATTAATAAAACCATGAATAACGTCCAACTCTAGTAACCAAGTCTAAGGCATTATTCGATTAATTTAATTGTTGATTAGCATTGCAGACTATTTGACTGAACATAGATTAATAGAATAATGCCTAGACTTGGGTATTTTATAATGTAATTGTCATCGTAAGATGTGTGTTTCAAATGATTGTACTGATATCCAGGAGGGGTATTAGAAAATGAACACGGACATTGTTCATTACAAAACATTCATAATCAACAGTGAGCTGCTGAGACTGATAGTTATAGAGTATTAGAGTAACAACAGCAGGATAAAAATAAGAATGGCATCCATCCAACACAACTAAAATACTCACCAATTAAGTTTGCAACCCAATGTAAGTTTTTTTGCCATTCAAGGTTCAATAGAACTCAACATAACATTGTTAAGCTTTAAATTCTCTGCTAGTGTTGTTATTTGCAAGCCCATTACTACTATTTTATGGTCTGGCTTTATGAAAAATGAATCAACTCTTATGTATTAGCAATTGTGTATGGAATCCACACAAAGATATTTTAGAGTTGAATAAACACTACATCAAGAGGTACTAACAGTAGAGAGGAAAGTGTCTTTCCTTTAACTTAACAATAAGATGACTATTCAATTTATAATGTAGAATTTGCTATCTTAAACTAAAGATTTTCACTTTTCCATATTAAACTCAATTGACTAAGTAGGTACCTAAGAATAATGAGCACGCTATATTCAATAAAAAATTCTTGCTTGAACAAATAATTAAATAGGTATTGAAGGTAGTTCTACATAAAAAAAAAGCATTTTAGTGCATTTATGGTTCAGTGTCACATTTTTTACAGTTATATACACTACAATTTGCTGTAATAAAGTATCAGTTGGACTAATTATTCATTCGAAGGATATATGTACTAACATATTGCATAAAGAGAACTGTGTGTTCTTATCAATGCCTACCCACTTATGTTGTGTGATAACTTTCGAAGAACAACGTAATGGTAGCTTAATGTGTAGTACAATAGTTAATCTGGAGCTAAACATTTAAATATAACAGTAACTATGATACAGCAATAAATTTCAATGCAATTATAAAAAAAAAGTAGGTATTACCGATAGAAACGCACTTCCAGATTTCTGTAACGCATGGTCGATTTCACCTCGAAATATACCCAAATGTTATAAATTATCGAAGAACACGTTAAAAAGTTTATTAAAATGAGATATTAATCAATAAATCAAATAGAAAATGCATTGAAGAATCACTCAGCACTATTCCAAATACTCGTGTCGCTTGCGGACGTTCACAATATGGCGACAACAGACAACAAAGACAAGCAATTTCTCACCTGTGACAACTCTTGACTAGTCTGCTTGAAGTTTTTCTTATTTAAATTTACAACGAGATAATTTATTTGCGATAAGCTAAACGTTAAAGAGTCCAGGTTCATAGTTCCATTAATCCGAAAACGAAAGCTTCAAACACGTTTGAAGCTTTCTGGATTTTTGACGGATTACTACAGTAAACGTATGTTCTTTTACAGTTTTTTTGCGAAATAACGATAAGCCTAAGGCCAACATCACCAATACTATTGTTCACTTCATTAAAATCAACATAATTTTTACACCCGACACTGCTATTTTGTAAAATCTGCACACGATGACGAATGCACACGCTCGCTCAACTCGCTCCATGAACGAAACCAGTAATGTTGCCAGTACCTGTGTCCTGTTTCGGACCATTCAAAATCTGAAAAGGGACGATTTTTAGACAAAAACAAATATTGCTACAGAAATATTAAACTAAAGACAGAACTATTTCGATAAAAGTCCGGACATTTTAGTCACAAAATGCAAACATCACCCACTTAGTTACAGTGATATTATACGCGTTGGTTTTGATTTTTAATGATAATTTATATTTTTTTTTAAATTAATGAGAACTTTATAAAGAAAATTTGACTTATTTGATATAACTTAATAAGTGGTTTTTCTCATATTGCATGTAATTAAAAAAATTCTGACAAATAAAAAAGCCGGACAAAGTCCGGACGGATGGTAATCCTATACGTGTTGTGTTAAGACGCGTTCTACTTCTTACATTTAGTATGGTTAGAACTATACCTGTGTGTCGCAATCTGTCGCGATATGTCGACAGCTTTCTGACTTACTAAATGTATGAAACAGATAGCTCTCTACAGATAGTTACAACACAACACGACAGATAAGTGTAGTACCGCCATAATGCAATTTAATGAAAAAAAACATATATACCTAAAAGGATCGTATTGTCTATATATTTTTTTGGGCACACAATAAAAATAAAGAAGACGGTACGGAAGACTATCCACCATGACGTACATAGGTATAGCGTGGTGGTACGATCGAACCGTAGACTTTAAAAAGCAAGCACTTATATCTAAGTTATTATCTTCATAATTGGAACATATCTCAACAACAATAGTTTTTATAAGGTAAGTTACGGTTATCAAAGGGACGTTTTGATGAGAAAAGGGCAAAAATCGCCCCTTTTGGGACGTTCTGGCACCGCTGACGAGACGTTCCCTGCCCCTTCCCTCCTCTCCTCTCCGTTCCGAACCGAACTTCTGTTCTGTACTCTCTGGTATAGAGGTTACGGAAATACCAACATAGAAAATAGTTTAATTTTATCGAGCAACCGCAGATTGTGGTAGAAATATTTTAACAAATAGACACCATTACTAAAGTCCTGGGTTCAATAATATTGTTAACATATTTTGTATGTGTAATACTTATCCTTGGAATATCGTAGGGTAGCACCGGTGGCACTCACGCACAGCTAGAGTTGTAAATCTAGTAATCTACCGTTGTCTACCACGAGTCTACCTAATCGTGAAGTGGACAAGAAGTGGAATACCGGTAGGCTTTATTCAGCAACGGTATATGTAGATTATTCAGCAGTAGTAGAAGTTTTTGCACAATATTTATTTTATGTTATTTAAGCTAGGAGACTTCCAGCAATAATTTTAGAGAAAGTAAAAATCAGTCTTACGTGAAAACGTACAGCGAGATAGATTTTTTAATTGTTATTTAAAATGTGATATTATGCACTAAGCCACGATTAACACACCAACTCCTAATGCTCCTAGGGTTATGGACTCGATCCCCAGGGCACTAATACCTTGTGGCAATTAGATGACATTGAAATGAGGGCACTGCTAGTGAATAAGTGGTGAAATAAGGATTACCATAGTCTATATACATTGGCGTGAGATAAAATGTAAGCAAACCATAAAAAGGATACTTTTTAAGGTCACGTTTGACAAAAGTAAACATTAAATACTATTTACATAGGAAATGCAGGGCAACATTAAGTTCATTGTTTTAAAACCTGGTACATACATATGAATAAGAACAAGAAAATGATGTGGTATCGTGGGACACCAGGTAGGAACGAAGTTCCTTCGGCTAATGTCGAATCGACACAAATTGCAAAAAAATCGTGCTCAATTTTATGTAGGTTTTCTTCATTTTTCTCTTAAATTTTGCTGATTAATTTTTATTTAAGTACAAGAAAGTATTTAGGAAATTCAGTATTTTCGGAAATAATAAATTACTTAAAATAAAAAAACATCGTAATTCAAATTATCAACTAAAATAACAAAATATGTCTCTTTATTTTTGTTTGACAACATAAAATTACATAGAAATAGAAAAATAGAAATAGAAATAAAAATAATTACAAAAAAAGTTTATTATTATTATTAATATTATTATTATAAGTAATTCTTATTAATCAGTCTCGTCATCAAATTCTATTGCTGAAACTATTGCGGCTGTCGCGCCTGCGCACGTCTCATTTAACGGTTTATTTCCACGCACTTTTTTCCACGGATTTTTTCTTATGGTTTTACTATCACATTTTTTTCAGCTCGGTCGCGCAGCGAAATCCCTATCCCCTCCAAGCCTGCCGTAAGGAACTGCGTTCCAAAATCAAATATTTCACACATGTAACGTAGTATACTCATCATAAATTCGTATATTTTTATTCTGCTGATAAAAGTATTTTAACAACTTAAGTTGACATGGAAAAATACCTAAAAACACAATCAACCTGTTGACGTAGGAGTGTATATTCTATCATATTTGTTAAATTCTTGTTATTTCTTTGTTTTATTTGTTGAGTTTGTTGTTATTTTTTCTGTTAAGTTAAAAGTTGTTGATTAATTATAGGTATAATAAATTAAACGTAATCATTGACTAGTGGGTACTTTCTGACATTATAAAAGTTTTAGAACCTTAGATTCTTCGTTTACATTTTGTCTCACGCAAAAGTGAATAGACTATAAGTATGTAAAATTTTCTCACTAAAGGGAACTTCATAATTTACAATTACTCGGAAAGAGTAATAAGATATATACTCTATAAATAAAAGGCTTATTTATGCTCTCCTAAAATCAGTTCCCATTTCAGTGACGCGCCACAAGATCTTGGTCGCACTGTACGTGCTACTGAAATATGGATTCTTAATTTTATATTCTATGTTGGAACTTTTTTGGTAAAGGAACTCATTGTGAGGAAACCTTCATGTCTTTCAAACTTTATATTCGACAATTTATGGGCTAACAATGGATGCTGAAGCACTAAGTAAATCTTCTTTTGTTGACATTTCAAAATATTTATTTAATTTTAATTGTTATGTACTTTCTCCTAGTACCAAAAAAAAAAATTTTAATATGCATATTCACTACCTACCGTGGTAACACGGTAACACATCGCAGTAACACATCCGATAATAACGCGTCTATGAGAAGGCTTAAAAGAAAAATTTCCACCAATGGATGTCAGCAGGTTAAATGATCCACAGAATACAGCTTAATCGTGGCTTAGTGCATAATGTCACATTTTAAATAACAATTAAAAAATCTATCTCGCTGTACGTTTTTCACGTAAGATTGATTTTTACTTTCTCTAAAATTATTGCTGGAAGTCTCCTAGCTTAAATAACATAAAATAAATATTGTGCAAAAACTTCTACTACTGCTGAATAATCTACATATTACTACCGTTGCTGAATAAAGCCTACCGGTATTCCACTTCTTGTCCACTTCACGATTAGGTAGACTCGTGGTAGACAACGGTAGATTACTAGATTTACAACTCTAGCTGTGCGTGAGTGCCACCGGTGCTACCCTACGATATTCCAAGGATAAGTATTACACATACAAAATATGTTAACAATATTATTGAACCCAGGACTTTAGTAATGGTGTCTATTTGTTAAAATATTTCTACCACAATCTGCGGTTGCTCGATAAAATTAAACTATTTTCTATGTTGGTATTTCCGTAACCTCTATACCAGAGAGTACAGAACAGAAGTAAAGTAAAAGCTGGATGCGAGTAGCCCAAGATCGATCTGAGTGGCGTGCAATTGGAGAGGCCTATGTCCAGCAGTGGACTAGGATAGGCTGTTGATGATGATGAAATTAAAAGCTACTTATTTTTGCCATGGTCAATTCAAGTAAAGCGTGGGAAGCAAGTAAGAGCGTTTCCAGTCTAGGGTCTAGGGGGGGAGGGGGGACATATTCCAAGACCGTAGATAGGGGGGGGGGGCATTATGGGGGCAATGACATAATCCAATCCACACTAGGTCCATTGTCACCCTCTAATCCGCGCTGGGTCCATAATCACCCACCTATCCACGCTGGGTCCTTTATCATCCACCAATCCGCACTGGGTCCATTATCACCCACCAATCCACGCTGGGTCCATTATCACCCGCCCAGCACTAGATTCATGTATTTTGTGACGGGGATTGTTCATTATTTACCGATGAGTCACCGATAACACTAATCGTAACGCAAATAATTTAACATATTCGCCAGTTTACCCCCCAAGTAAAGCGCACGCTAAAGAAGTTGCACTTTAAAAATTGGTGTAAAATAATGAGGAAAGAAGATATAATTTTTCTTGTAAGCAATAGTGTGCTGTACTGTTGCGAAGATACATATTCAACATCTCTTGACTGAATTACAAATGCTCGTATTCATCACACAAACATCTGCCCCCACCGGGATTCGGACCTCTAGAGTCCACGGCACCATGAAACCCGGCGTACAAACCACTCGGCCACGGAGGTCGTCACCTCCGTATCTTAACTCTATTACGGTTTTAAAAATCTGTATGTAGGTATGTTTTTATTTACTCGTATATACCTAGTGAATAGTGTACAACTTTGAAACATAGCACCTGTGTAATGTCGGCTTGCTTGTTTGAAGATCTTTTCCCCTTTTAATAGCTTCCGTCTGTTTTATTTTTCTGACTCCAAATATTTGCACTATTTAAGCTCTATCATACTTTTTGCAGTGAGCAGCTTCGTAGACTTTGGATGCTGTGATTCTACAATAATATCTGAGCTTGAACCATATTCAGGAATCTAATTGTTGCGAAGTGCACTGTGCTATATTTTTAACAGACTTCAAAAAAGCATGTTCTTAGTTTGACTTGTAAATATGTATTATTCTTTTAGATTTGTTGGTTTTAGCAGTCCTAATGGAACTGCAATCACTGCGACCTATAAGATCTATTGTGTTTCGCCACCATTTTAAAGTACCTATCTCTTTTAGCTCGACAGCTTTCAAGAAAATCAAACGTTTCTACCTTTTAGAGATTTGATTTTCCTCTGGGAGTATTATATGTCGTCCCAGATAAATACTGCGTTTGTGGATAAGAGGCTCATATTCACATAGAAGGTCTTTTGGTGTTTCACGCTCCTGATTGTAGTATCTACAAACATCAGTGTCACTTAATTTCATATGAAATTGGTGTCTGTTGAGTTTGCAGTGTCCAGTTAATGCTCTTACGATACCACGGGTCTTCGGCCTGCTAAGTTCTATTAACTCAACAGTCCTTTTTTTCTAATCCTGGTTGGTTTAACAATATTTTTTCGATTTGCCTACAAGGTCTTTAAGAATTTGCATACCATGGTTTATAGGGATGTCACAGAAAGGTTCTGGTCCCATCTGTTGCCCCTGTGCCCTTGCTCTTGCCAGTTCATAAACTTTTTCATTGCCGATTATCCTTGAATGACCTGGTACCCATTTACGAACAATTTTATTCTTTGGACCCAGGTTATTCAGCTTATCAACGCAGTCTTTCACCAATTTCGAGCATATCGTATTCGAGTTAATAGCGTTAAGCGCTGCACACAAACCAGGTCATATCTGAAAAGATATGACCTGGTTTGTGTTGTTTCGTTGACGATTGGCTTCTGCATATACAATGATGGCATATACCTCTACCTGGAATATAGTAGCGTGTTTTCCGAGATTCACGCTTCTATTGAATCGCACCCTTTAGCCGCGGTAGAATAATGGTCAGTGTATTCGCCCAGATACCAGAGGGTGCGGGTTCGAGTCCATTCTGCTGCAATGCTCCGCGTATAATATTTTGTTTTAAGGTTTAAGTACAAATGTCTTAATCTAGGTTATTTACCATATAGGTACCAGATTTCATCCAAATCCGTTCAGTAATTGTTGCTTGATTTAGTAAATAACATACGAAGTTGCATAATATTAGTAGGAATATTTAATCACGACATAACAACACCAAGACTCTAGACCACTGATTACTAAATATCGATATCAATAGACAAGTTCATAGAAAACAGCATCAAGACACCATTACATAAATAAAAAAATTCAACTGTCAGCAGAGTGAAGTGAAGTGAATTTTGCAAGTCCTACGGTAGTAATTTGAGGTTAGTTTGACTTATTATTTTTTTATTTTTTATACAAAAACTAATTTACTCTCAGGTTTCCGAAATTGTAGAGTTACTAAAATGTAGCTAGTGATATTTAGATTTAAGTATTTTGTGTTAAAATTTTTCAATAATTGTTTTGTAGTTTGTGATTTTTTGTGTCTGCGTGTTTGTGTCATAATCATTTTAGCATATAATTCCTTGCATTTCTTTTAAATCCTTTGAGGAGTTCATGATAAATTTTCTAAAGGTTTTGTTTTTATTAATCAGCGATAGCTATATCAGTTTATATTGGTCGCATCCAGAAATAGCAATGTTACATAATGGAGGTTGTTTATTGATGGTTGTGGAAAGAGAGCTGTAAAAATTGACCTTTCTTTGCAGTTTTACAATGACTGTGCAATCTTATAATACTATCATATTTTGATTACCTTTCAATCATACCTTAATTTAAGCAAACAATTTAATTTGGATTGCAAACACAGCAACCATAACTTTTTACAAATCCACATTCAACAAAACAAGAAGAGCTTACTAGTTTTAATTCCAACAGTACTTTTACTGTAAAGAAAATAAAATCCTTGTAACTGAGTTTTGTATTTTCTTGTAATAGGAAAATTTAATTGTTTCAGTTTTATGGCGATCAAACATTTCCTTCGTAGGAACCTTGTGACTATAGCATTCCCAACAATCGCTGCAACTCTCATTTACTTGGACTGGAGTCACACTAGAACTTGGAAGTCACAACAAAAGCAGAAGTAAGATGGCGATCTTTGGCATAACAACTCGTTATGTCTGGTTTGCGGTGCCATTGTCCGGCTTTTTCTTTGGTAAATTTTTAGATGATCAAGAAACATTGAGGATGACTAGTTTCAGAGATAAATCATGCTTGTACGGAGGCAGAGTGAAGGAAGGTGACCCACCATCTTGGCCTTAAATTATTGAAACAGAAAGATGTAGTTTAACTCTAATAAATACGGTAACAAAAAACATGGTTTCATTTAAATTCTTTTAAGATTTATTTTCTCTTAAATATTGGCTACTGTAGGTTGGTTACAGTAATTTCGTTTTTAGTCTGGTTGATCAATCTAATGAGACTTTAAAAGTAGTAGTCTAATATTTCACTTGTACCTACCAAGGTGTCCCCCAAAGAGATTAAAGAATTATTAAATATCTTTGGTGTCCTCCCTGGTTGAGAAGATTCTTTTTCATTTGTAGGCTGGCTACATTATAATTATAGAAGGCTACATTATAATTTATAGAATCGCTCCTCCATAATAAATATATAACCCTGATGTTCTTAAAGTTCCATTTTAAATTAAATAAAGCAACATTAGAATGGCTTCACAAATTTAACAAATTTTGTTTTGGTTGCATTTGTTATATTGAGGAAAAGGTTTGTATAAAGATGATCTTCAAAACTTGGACTGTCTATCCACCACCACCAACTATGTTACATACTGAAATCTAAAGTTGTTACTTAAAAGAGAGCACCTTGCAAATCAGCACACAGCACAGGTGTGTCCAGGCAGCTACATACTTAGATTAAAACAAAAAGGATAGATACGGCACTAGCCTCACTAAAGTGATCCGCATAAATTGTGGTCCACGACCCTAATCGCTTTAGTCACAACTTGACATGCAAACGACGTACATCTGAACGCCAAAAAGAAATATTGCTAATATTTTGTGTTTATATGACAAAACAATGCCTAAGTGTGTTTTTAAAAAGTGCTCAAATTGCTCAAGAACTAAAAATAAAACCCACGGCACCACATTTTCGTTTCATTCGTAAGTACTATAAAATATATTTTTTCATAAAAATTGTTGTTTGTTTTGAATCTTATTCGGTAGTAACGTCGAGTACTGGTCGCCTGATTGGTCGGTAATGCAGTGACGCGGATCTCGCCGTCTCGTTCGCGCTGCCGTTGAAACTTAACGTGCTGTTTCGTTCGGGTCGGTAATGCAGTGACGCGGATCTCGCCGTCCCGTTCGCGCTGCCGTGGGATCAGTTTTTGTTTGATGCAAGTATGAGCGTACCGTATCTACCCTTTTTGTTTTAATCTAAGGCTACATAGGCAAAGTCGTGTTTACGGCTGGTCAACAGCTCAACTAGAGGGTCTCTGAGGCTCGTATTATTGAAAGATTCTCAGTGATTGATCTAGTCTTGAGCATAGTTAGAAAGGGATGTCGCTATATATAGCATATAGCGACATCTTTTTCTAACTGTACTCAAGTAAAGATGAACACTTAGTTGGCATTCTGTAATACGGGCCTTAGATTCCGATCTCGGCTCTAGTTAAAGTTTACGTGGGGGGCGGGGAAAATGCCCAAGTATGTACCTGTACCTGGTATTTTTTTTTGATTGACAAAGATTCACCAACAACATATAATTTTACATTACAATTTGAAAAAATATATAAATACCATACTTAAAGATATGCTTTTTAATAGGAGAATACAACATGCACATAAAATAAATACAAATAAACTACAATGACAGATTAAACAAACAAAAAATATATCCACCATCATGAAAAACAGGTATACTGAATTATAATATTATTTAGTCTGTGTTACGGTCTAATTTTATTTTTTCCACAAACAACCTCTTATATACGCGCTCAGTATTGTGGAAAACGTCGACACTGCAGTCCTGTAAATCATTGTAGGTACGCATACACCGGTATAGCGTGTCGTGTGTAGACCGGGTCTTCGCACGCTTATCCTACGGGTGCGGTGTCTGCCTAATGCTAAGCTAGTATGCAAGTATGCTAGCTGTGTAGTGTTGGTGTTTGTGGCCTGTGTGGGAGGAGTCGGAGGCGGATGTACTCTCCTGGGCTGACAGAATCGGAGCGAGTCAGCTAGGCGCCGACTTTTAAACGTGCCTTTCGAAGCACGGAGGAGCTCGAGATAGTAAATTTTTGATCGCAGCCGAACGCGCTAACCACCTGGGCCATCGAGCTCCTCACAATAATTAAAATTAAAATGAAGTGTCTTTATTATATATAAAGTTCACTTAACTTCTGCTGCTGCTAAGCAAAAAGCTGATTAAGCGAAATTGCCATAAAGCGAATTCCTAAAGAGAATCTGTCCTAAACTAAAGTAAACGAACAAATTATATCAAATTAATCAGTTCGCGTTTTTAGATAGGTACGCTCAATTTGATTAAGGGCTCTTGGTCCTACCGGTTTATCACATATACCCGTGGTCCTGCTATGCCATGACAGACCCACCATACCCCTAGCCATACCCCTGGGGGTAGGGTGGGACTGAACCATACCACCGTTGTAGTTCTGGGATTTTATGGAAAAATAGAATAAAAATAGATACCTAACAGATACGAATATTTAGTTTATTAAAAAAACCGAAATCCGTTCCGGCAAAACCTAAAAATATAACAAATACTTATTTTGTTATTTATCTTTAACAGAAAAACTTAAAAGATGTTAATCTATGTTCTTAATTTGTCTAACGCATGCCCCAATGGTGATTTCGTTGTGCACTAACTGCATTTACTACGTACAAAAGGATACTTGAAATAAATACACGATAAGATTATTATTGAGAACAATCAAGTAAAAATGAATTATAAGTACATATTTATACTATGTCGTATGGGATGCTATTGACACCAGGTACCTACGTAATATTCGGAAAAACAAAACCTGAAAACATATAGTGCACAGCACTACGGTGGTATGGTTCAGTCCCACCCTACCCCTGGGGGTATGGTGGGTCTGTCATGCTACTATGCTAGGGTTGTTTAATATGGTATCGATATTTTTTTTTAAATTTTTTAATTTCTTTTGAAACACAGCCTTCTTATCAATGAATTGTACAAGAAAATATTAGTTCTATTTGACATTGTCCCCAGTGGGAACCGGAAACCGGAGTTCTATTTGACATTGTCCCCAGTGGGAACCGGAAACGTAGCCAGTGGTGATGACTGAGAACAAGCATGATATTCTAATGACTTGGTAGGTAGTTATTTATTAAATCATTCCATTTCCGAGGTTTTCTTGTAAGGGCCGATCGTTGAATTTCAATGGAAAAAGGCTGCATTATAATCTTTCTCATTTTCTCATGTTTGGCTTTAAATGCTCAGATCATGTAAAAAGGTGGAATTTTTGGGTTTCGCAATTCAACTGATTGTCATAATGAGGGCACCTATGAGTAGAAATGAAGCAAATTGTATAACTCATGGAACTTTATTTAAAAGGTAATCTTGACATTCACAATGTCTTTTTAGCCATTTGGTACCATACAATAAAGAAAGGCGCCCAAAGGCCGGAGCCGAACATGAATGCAAAAATTATCGTTGTCAGGTACCTGAAAACATAAAAGAAATAATCACCACACCACACTAACAATAGCTCCAGGTAAACTTGTTTTTATAGACTACCTGAGTAGACTACCATAACTAACCGATTGGTAACTTTGAAAGGCATGTTATCAAACGGCTGTGTCGGTCCATCGTGATGGCTGTTTAGTTTTTGCATTCGCATAGGTGTCGGCAATTTCGTAAGCAGTCCCCTTGACCGTACTATAGTTGTTATCATCGAACGAATTCCTAATCTCAACATCTTAAATGTTGTTTCGACTGAGTCTACTTAATATTTTTATTCCAATTTAAAATCTATGAGAATCCGCGAGCAATACAAATCTGCAATGCGTATGACAGACAACTTCAGTTTTTAGCGTAGAAATACAGTTTCAAAACACAAAGAGGTTGTGTATTGTGTCGTGAGGATGCATGGAGCAAATATATTTAATGTCATGAAACTGTATCCAATCTAATGGTCGTAGCATCATGAAATTATATGCGTAGCACACATAAAAATTCGTTGTATTTCATTCTGATTTTATTATTTTTGAAAAACATGAATTTTGTAATCGTAATCCAATCCGTGCCATCTATCGAAATATTAAGCAACTACATTGCAATTGAAGAGTAATTTAAAATCTTACAGCGCCATCTATCCAGTTTTACTTACATTATCAGTTTCCGATTGCACCGTAGATGTCACTAGTAGTAATTTTATGTAGTGGATGTGGAATGGAATAATGATAATGTTAGTAATGATCACACATGGTATTATCACATAAGTAAATAAACAGATATTACTGTTTAATTTTCAAGGAGTTATATCGTTTATAGATAAGACAGAGGCATATATTTTCGGGAATTTTAAAATCGACTTAATAATGATAATTTCGATATGTTTCTTTCGTTTCATCTCCACATTACATAAAAATTAATCCCTATTACCCATGCCATGGTTATCCCATAACCTGTGTACGAATTTACCGATTTTATGAATCTTATTTAAATATTACATTGTACAATTCTCGTAGCAACAAGGTATTCGCGCTCGCGTTATCCGTACACAGCTGTATAAATCTTATTATAAACTAGCGACCCGCCCGGCTTCGCACGGGTGCACTATATTAATGAGACATTAAAATCAATATTTCCAGTGGTTTCTAGTGAAGTTTAAAAACAAATCTTTAAGGTCCAATCTAACCCCCCCAAACTTTGCCTTGACAATAAAGAATACAACAAAGAAAATAATTACCAATTTGGTGCAGTCTTACAAACATTATGCCAGGAATCAAAAAATGGGAACAGTGAGAGGGAAAGCACAACTATTTGACACACATACAAACACACATACAAACACACATACAAACACACATACAAACTACATAGTCACCTAACAAAAGTAACACAACCAACGATATTAAGTTATTTTAATTTCTTTTTGTTGTGCCTCTCCACACTATTGTAGGTTGGCCGTCAGCCTTGCGTATTTATTAGACTTGCAACGAATAGTACATTCGGCAGTATACCGAATATTCGGCGAGGGCCCTGACCGAATAGCCGAATATTAGGCCAAAAACTTGTACAGACGTGTACCTTTATTTTGTTCTAATCTGCCGTCCTCAAGCTAAAATGCGGCTAAATGACAAAACTAGGACTGCCATCTCTAAAATGTGGCAACCAGGATAAGACGCGTGATAACCCCGGATTTTGGAGCCCAGAACCCGGACAGACCAATAAAAATAGTTAAAAATATCACAAATCAACTTTTTTATGTTGATCTAGGCAAAAGAGCTAGCGGTCTACCTCATAATAAGTGGTCACTACTGCCCATGGACACTTGCAGCACCAAGGGCCTTTCATGCGTTGCCGTACATTTTTAAACCCGGACTACAAATGAAACCCCGCCCGGACGCTCCCCGGACGCCCCGTAAACTAGGACAAATCCGGGGAAACCCGGACGGATGGCAGCCCTAGACAAAACCAACTTTTGAGATATGGCCAAAAACGGCGCGTAAACTTTAAATTATTGCTATTATGTAACCATTCATCACATGACTGAATGAATTAAAAACTGTTAACTTGTTTAATACAGAAAATGATTAAATTATGTACCTGTTTTATGTACCAATGACTACTTAATAAATGATTATTTCTCTATGACAAAATATATTTTTTAAGTATTCGGTATTCGGCCGAATAATATGTAGATATTCGGTATTCGGCCGAATATAATAAAAGCAGCCGAATAGGCCGAATACCGAATAGTAACCGAATATTCGTTGCAAGTCTAGTATTTATCCTTCGAGCCTGAAAAAATAGTTTTCCCATGCTGGCGATACCAAGTCCTCTCTCTGATGTTTCAGAGCCAGGACATCTTTCTTCTTTAGCCATTAGATCTCTTTAGCATAGTAGGCGTAGTTTTGAAAACTGCCTGTCATTTGCAGAGCTATCTAAGAGCAAACTCACTATTCACCGCCGAATCCGCTGCGGTGTGATTTAAAATTTATTTGAAACTAGCGGCCCGCCCTCGCTTCGCTTCGGTGTAGAGCTGAAGTGTAGACTAAAGTTTTTGTTCTCAGGCTTGTATTATACACAATGACATTCATCTATGATTCTCCTTATACCTGCATGCAAAGTCTCAGCGCGATAGGTTTAAAATTGACAAAATTTCATACAAACTTTCATTGTCTATTTTATCCCCTTGGGGGTAGAATTGATCAAAATCCTTCCTTAGCGGATGCCTACGTCATAACATCTACCTGCATGCCAAATTTCAGCCCGATCCGTCCAGTGGTTTGGGCTGTGCGTTGATAGATCACTATGTCAGTCAGTCACCTTTGAGTTTTATATGTATAAATAGTCGTGTTAAAATTTAAAATCACACCGCTTAAATTCCGAGGTCAAAAGTGTGTTTGTTCTTACTTCTTATTGCACTGCTATTGGCTTATTCGCTAACTTTTTTGATATTTACAGTGTGATAAACTGAACTAAAGAGCAAATTGTGTATCCATCGATGCTTTTCAGTGAATTGAAGTGAAGTGAAAGTGAATAAGTAAATAGCTCGGTGATTTCCATCTTTCAAGAACCGTTAGCGAATAGGTCTTCTCTAGGCTAGACTGAGTGAATTTTTCAAGTAAAATTTTTATAACATCTGCCCCCACTGGGATTTGAACCCGGGACCTCTCGAGTCGGCGACACCATGAAACCCGGCGTACAAACCAGTCGGCTACGGATGTCGTCCAACTAAATATATCTTCTTACATCCCATACTAAAGCTAGCGAACAAGGGAAAACTCAGCAAAGAAGGGAAGGTGAGTAGGTTACGTAGCAGAATAGACAGACAGATAGAGTAACTGTCCAGTATTAGGTTATTATAATTTTCATATTTGTTTCTTAGGTTTTCACGCACATCACTCATTAAATAAAACTAGTTTTTACGGGTTAATGCACGAAACTTTATTTATTTATTGACGTTTCGTAGCCTTTACAGGCTTCGTCGTCAGAAAAAGTCTTTCGAAGGTAGCTCGACAAATTAAATAAAAGTTTTATTCTGACGACGAAGCCTGTAAAGGCTACGAAACGTCAATAAATAAATAAAGTTTCGTGCATTAACCCGTAAAAACTAGTTTTATTTATTTTAATTTTCCCCCCCTTCATTGTTTCAGCTCTTTAAATAAATAGTAATTAACTCAGAAAGATAATTCTCGCAAGATGCGCTGTGTGTTGTACGACACTTATTTTCATTATTGTTGTTCTGACAAATTGAAATCTGCCACCAGGTCCTGATAATGTTATGAATCAATAAAAGAAAAAATAACAGGTACACCTTTATAATCATCATCATCATCAGCCTATTAATGTCCCCACTGCTGGGGCACAGGCCTTCCCCATGGATGGAATAGGGAGATTGGGCCATGACCCACCACGCGGGCCCAGTGCGGATTGGTGGGTGCTAACGACTGTAGATGCAGCCGGGACCAACGGCTTAACGTGCCTTCCGATGCACGGAGGAGCTCGAGATAGTAATTTTTGGTCACCCATCCAATGACCGACCACTGCGAAAGTTGCTTAACTTCAACGATCGCAGCCGAACGCGCTAACCACTTGCGCCATCGAGCTCCTCAAACCTCCTTTATAATAAATAATGAAAATCATCAACATTTTTACTTAAGTTTTCCTAACTAATAAGAAATGGTGTGAAACCAAAGTTTACCTACCAAATAAATATGTGCCGAATGCTCTATCAGGGACTTTATCGACAACTGATGAAACAGGCCCTGAACTTCTCCACTTTTATCAGTAAAAGGTTAGTTAAGCATTCAATACGAGTTTAAGGAACGTCGTACAAAATTACTTTTGCTTGGTTTAAAATAAGTCTTTAATTTTCTTGTAGTACAAACTGTATTATTAATCTACTTACTAGCAAACCAGTGAACCAAATGTTCACCAAAACCTGATTTAAAAAAAAAATGTATTTAATTAATTGAGAACTTCGGAGATTTTGTGTGGTTTCGTTTGAAAATCGTGATTTCTCGAAAACCGGAAGTGCTACGTTACTCAAATCCGGTTTGTAGTCTTATCAGACTATTCTTAACTTATAACTTAAATATTCTCTTTATCTATCTCTTACGGTTTGGCCGCTGAAACAGCACCACAGACGGACGGACGGACTTGTCTAATAGATAAGAGATACTAATAATAAAATCAATATTGATAAGAATAAGCAACCATTATAATCTACCCAGTTTTATAAAGCACTAGCAAACCCGGCGAACTCCGTTTCGCCACCAGGATGGCTTTGTTTTATGTAACATTTCGTTTGGTGATTAAAAGAAGTTTTTTTTTTAATTTTTCCTGAATTTTCTTTGCTATAAACCTCACGAAGCCCGAGACCTTTCCAATGAATGCAAAACCGTGGAAATCGGTTCGTGCGTTCTGGAGTTATAGCGTCAGGAAGGAAAACCCGACTTATTTTTATATAGTAGATGACATCGCTAAGGGTAAAGAAATAAATGAACAGTGGACACGATTAAAAATAAATAATATAAGACATTTCATTTGTTTTATTCATTTCCAAATACAGTAACATCTATACAATGGCAATTCTACGACTAAATGATTTTTTATTATTTATTGACATGCATTAAAATTAAAAACTGTAAAATTATATCTACTATTGTCAATAAATTAAATCAATGTAATAAATAATAAATAAAATGTAATATTCTATTTTCTTTATTGGAGTTTTTAATTACAATCATCAAAAATAGGTAACTGTTGGCTTAATAATAATTACAATAACGTTATTATTGTAATAGGTAAATAAAATAAATAATAACTTCTCTTGTCGTTCTTAC